CATGTTTTTTATACTCATCTTTTAATTTCATGGTCATATGTAATCTGCTTGTTACATAAGAATTCATATCTAAGAAGCTACTCATGTGATTGCAAACCTGCAAAGGCAGCAAGTTATTACAACTAATTGCTTCTCAGCACCTGGAAAATAATTTAGATCAAGATAAGCTGCCTAGGATAGAACTTTCCCGGGACCCAGCACATAGCAGAAGCTTTATAGCACTCGGCTGCCCTTGTGGATTCTGATGCATGGTTAAGCTTTCAGTGATGATCATTGAAATTTGAAATTTTGTTTGATAATCTCCATAACTTGGTTAACAAAAGTTGATTTTATTAGTTATGAAGAAGACGGTGACATTGTTTTGACGTATGGTGCTGTTGATACATAGTGCATGCGCCACCAAAGTGTTTGCAAGGTAAGCAACTCGAACAATTTGTTTCTTAATTAATTATCCAATTGAGGTTTCCAACTTTCCATCATTATTTTTCAGAGTCTTGGCTTTCGGTGTTAAAATAGAGTTTTCTTGGATCAAAGTCTTTTCCAAGTTTAGTGTTTCATTATTTTCTAGACTGATAAGTGATAATAATCACTGCAGTCATGCATATTTTGTGACATCTTGCTTTGTTGAAGTACATTTGCACGTCATTGTTTGGAATGATTTGATAAAAAGCTGACTCAGATAAACTAGAAATCTGTGATTGATCAATATTTTTCAGGGTCTTTGCTTTTGGTATTATTTTGATTTTTAATTTTTTTGATTTTTTTTCTATTTATTTGATGATTCTAATTGGGAAAATGTCTAATTAAATACCATACTGTGAAAGCTACTTCTATTGGAGTCGGTTACAATTTTTGTTTGGATACTTTCTCTGCCATCTAATCTAATCATATAAGAATATAGGTTCCTCTTTGGGATTATGTTTATACAACTTTGCACTGCTGTAATGATACTGTGGCAATCCCTACCTTTGCAGAAAAATATTTGAATGTCACATGCGTTCAAAGCTCGCCCTCAGCTTCCACTTTCTCGAATAATTGAACCTGGTGGTTTTGAGAATGTCACGACCGAACAAGAAGCAGCATTAATTCCTGGACTCAGGTATACTTATCTTTTTATGTGTAAACCTACTCAGGATAACCTTTGGAGGATGGGTGCAAATTTTCTTCTTTTCTTTTTGGGGTTGGAAGTAGTGGAGGCTGAATTGGCAACACTAAAGCTCATTTTTTTATCTCCTTCAGATAAGGTGCTTTGGTGGAGAATATTAATGAGACTCAAGCACAATGCCTATTATCCTTATGATGGTGGGGGACATTGCCTTACTTGCAAGGTAAATAAAACCAAGGAAGTTTTGATCGGGAAGACAAAAGATGATTTTTGATTGATGTTTTAGATGTAAAACAATTGATGATGTATAATTCAGTTGATTAATTCTGTAATTATTTAAATCTACTTTAAGTTGAGAATAAGATGCAGTAAGCTGTTTGAGCTTTGTATTTTATTCAAACACTTGCTACCTTGACTTATTGCTCTTGCAAATATAACCAAAAAAAGTTTTGATATATATAACCTCTGGTGGCGACTTGTTTATTTGATACACTGAAAATTGAAATTTAGTAACTGGGGTTTGTTGTGGAAGGTTACTCTTTCCTTCATTTAATGGGCATGCAAGTCCTGGTATTCTAGTTTTGCTTCTATGGACGTTGCTGGGCATTATTTAGTCCAGAACAAACACATATTTGACTACATAACCAGGTGTATGCGTGGTCTCAGAATCTATCCTTATTTTAAAAGAGGGGCTAATGAAACTTCTTGACATTAGCTCACTAAAATTTGAATCTCACTAGTTCGATTTGAAATTTTAAGACAGTCCAAGAGCCTTCGTCTAAAGTACTTCTTCAATGCCCTTAATGGATTAAATAAACGTAGTTTATAATTGATGATTCTGATTAGTGTTTTTTATGTTACAGTGGATAAAATTATCTCTTATACACACGTGAAAGTGTGTGAGGTCTATTTTTTTCTTTTATCTCATTTATCTTCATATGGGCCTTATATATTTTTGTGTGTATGTACGAAATAAAATTATCTTCTATAATATGAAAAATATTAATCTCAAAATGTAAAAAAAAAAAAAATCACTTGTTACGAATTGAGATTAATAAATTCAGCAACATGCTGCTTAGCCCATCTTGACTATTTACATTTCACAGCAAGAATTAGATGTATCAATAGAAATGGTTAAATTGTTTCCTTTTGCAAGTGTAGTCAGATATTCCTTGACAAATATTGGCTTCCACTACATTTCTCTGTAGATGGCCTACGTAAATGACAAAAGAATTAAGCTCAAAAATATAATTGATTACGTATATATCTTGCTACTTATTTCAAGTAAAATATGCCAATAATTAGTTTATATACATAACGTGTAAATCAAAGAACGATGGAATAATCTATCCTCCACAATGAATTGAGTACTTGAAAGGACTACAGATTATAAAGGTGGAGATGGTACAAAGTAAAAAAATTAAATAAATAATTAATTATGCTAGCATATGAAAATGAAGAAAAAATTATGAAAGGCTAAAGAATATTGGCTTTTTGACCCTTTTGTTCTTCATTAATTAATTAATAACTATTTTGCCCCTTATCCAAAACTATCTATCAATCTGTCCTTCTTTAATCGATTAACTTGAAGAATTAATCGATTAAATGGTCAAAATTGACAAAAATGATTGACTGGAAGATTTAATCGACTAAATTTCCCAAATGAGCGTGAAAGCATTGATTGAATGAGACAAACACGGTATTGGAGGTTATTTGAATTTTGAATTTAATGTAATAGGAGTTGATTGCGATTTGTATTTAATAGGAGCTGATTGCATTTTGTATTTAATAGGAGTTGATTGCGTTTTATATTTAATAGGAGTTGATTGTGTTTTGTATTTAATAGGATCTGATTGCGTTTTATTAGGAGTTGCCATTTTACGAGTTGGTTACTCAAATTCTCTCAAAGAACCGAAAGTATTTCATATTTTAAAAAAATAAAAATAAAATTTCAGGAACAATCCGGATTAGTCCCATAGCCGGCTCAAAGAGTCGAAGCTCGTGGAGATACCGGAGGGAGCCAACTCGTCTCAAAGAGATAATTAGGGTTGGGTAACTCCAAAAAAAAAAAAAAAGAATCATATAATCATTAAAACCTAATAGGTAAGAAAGGAAAGTACTTGAGAAGGCGAAGATCCGAGATGGTGCGTGGCATCTTGAGGTTGGCATACTCTGCGGTTTTTTTGTTTCTTTGATTTGCTTGTTTATCATATTTTAAAACCTAATAAGTTGGCGTACTATATCAAAAGGAAAGTAACAGAATCAGTTCATGTAAATCAATCCAGTTTTCAAGAATCATTTTTCTTTTGTTGGTTTCTTTGTTTGTTTGGTTATCTATGCTTGTTGATTTGCTTCATATGCACGGAATCTGCTTTTGTTTATGGTGGAGATTTGACTTATGTTGCCTGTTGGGAGATTTAATCTATTAACTTGAAAATTTAATCGATTAAATCTTCAAGTCAACCATTTTTGCTAGTTTTGATCATTTAATCGATTAAATCTTCAAGTTAATCGATTAAAGAGGGGCAGATTGGTAGATAGTTTTGAATAAGGGGCAAAATAATTATTAATTAATTAATGAAGGGTAAAAGGGTCAAAAAGCCAAAGAATATTGGCTTCCAGTGTTTAAGCAAAATTGACCACCTATGTAGCACTGATGCTGACACGGGACATGATATAATACGATACTCTGACACGTTAATTCTAAAAAATATTAAATTTTGACACGTTAGGACACATTTTGATATTGAATAATATTTTTAATTTATGTTGCATATATTATATTTAATATTCAATGATTTAATAAAAAAATTAAGCTAAACTTATAATAGCCATTAATTTTTTAAAGAAATATAAGATATCACCAATGTTTATATTAAATTCAATAAAATGGTATTAATAATCCAACAAATGTAATAGTTAGAACTAAAAATGTAACGTAACGTAACTTTTGAACTTTCTTTTTGAGTTTCTACAATGTCCGTTGCAGTGTTGGAGAGTGTCGAAATGTCAAAGAATATCAGAAAGTATCGAATATGACACGTCAAAGTTTTTAAAGTGTCAATACTTCGTAGTTGACGAATAACCCATCCCATCACCTAAAAGTATTTCCATGTATTAAAGCTGAACGGAATATACGCACCAGAATTGCTTTTGTTTCTACCATTTTATCTCCTACTACCAACCATGTTCATAATATTATAGGGGATTACTTTTCTCATGTAGTACGAAAGCAGTTATTTCATATTAAAAACACCAATTTTTAGAAGAAAAAAAAAAGAGGCATATTTTTTAAAGTGAGAGTGAGATGAGAGATCAATCTCATGCCATATAAGAGTATAATTTTTCAATATTATAATAGCAATAGCTGTTCTTTGATGGGGATAGAATGTACGCTGATTCCTTGGTAGATGCTACAACGTTAAAGATGAGGGATACTAGATATGAGAAGATAATCCGATTCATTAATTTTAAAAAATGATAAATGTTAGTATATTTAGACATATTTTCATATTAAATAATATTTTTTATTTATATAATATATATTATATATAATATTAAATAATTTAACAAAAAAATAAATTAATTTATAATACTAATTAATTTTGTAAAAAAAATTATAAATATCTATATTAAATTCAATAAAATAATAATGGTAATGTAACAAATTTAATAGTTAGAATTAAAAATATAACGCAATTTTGGAATTTTTTGGAATCTTTGCGACACATATTAAAATGTTGAAGAGTGTCGGAATATGGAGGAATTTCATAAATTGTAAGTCTTAAGTCCATCACTCACACTACACAGTTTTTTAGTGGAGAAAAGTTTATATCATTTTTAAGATATATGTCTCACGTCTTCTGTGAAAGTGAAAAAATATAAGGGGTCTCGTTTGGAATGATACACCTCTCCCCCTTTTTAGTGTCACACTAACCTCAAAAATCGTCCATTTACGTTTCAATTTTCTTGAGTCTCTCCTCTTAAAGATTCGGCTTCCACATTATCTCAATTCATCACTCCCTCTTTTCACTAAATTTTGAGTTTCTTTGCATCCCTTAGGCTAACCAGCATTTGGGTTTCGAACTTTTCACTAAATTGGTGAATTACCTTGCCTTTTTATACACCAAACACTGAAGTTGCTAATTTTTGCATCAGATAGCGGATTTTCTTCCCTACCCACAAGCAATTGAAGTAAAAGCTTGGATTTCTCTCATCTGGGCAGCATTAAATTTTGCATCTTGGTGAGATTCAGTTGGTTCTGTTTTTTGATTTACATGATGCACACCAAAACTGATTCTGATGTCACGAGCTTAGACCCATCATCACCAAGATCTCCAAAACGACCCGTTTATTATGTGCAGAGTCCCTCAAGGGACTCTCACGATGGCGATAAATGTTCATCTATGCAAGCCACACCAGCTTGTAATAGCCCCATGGAGTCACCTTCACATCACTCCTATGGTCACCATTCAAGGGCGTCCTCTGCCAGCAGGGTCTCAGGTAACTACAACTCTTCTTGGGGAAGGAAAGGGAACCGGAAACGCAACGATAAAGGGTGGCCTGAAAGCAAGGTGATCGAGGAAGAGGGGGGTTACGACGAATTTTACCATGGCAGTAAGGGATTGTCAAGGAGGGCTCAGATCTTCGTTGCCATTATTGGGTTTGTCTTGATTTTCAGTGTGTTTTGTTTGATCATTTGGGGTGCTAGCAGGCCTTATAAACCTCAGCTCAGTGTCAAGGTACATGAATGATGGTTGCTTTTTTTATACCAAGGATTAGCTTCTTGCTTCACATGATGTTTTTTAAATTTAATAAATAAATGGTGGAGTTTGAAGGTATATATTATTTAATAATATCTGGTCTAGTTTTGTTAATCATAGATCAAAACCTTTATTTTTTAAAATAGTTAGAAGGAAACGATTACTATTATATATATTTTTAGAGATAGTTAACCATCTTGGATTTAGGATGATATCTGAGACAGGAAGGATGCGAGTCAGGCCCTCACGTGGTGTGATTGTGGGACAGGACTTGATAATTTGGGATAGAGTCACCACAATCGATTTACTGGAATAGCAGTGATTTGAAAGAAGTGTTGCCTATAGATTTTATGTCATCATTCAATTTCAGTGCTGCTTACTTGTTTGGTGCATACTTATAATGATAGTACACTAGTAACCATGGTAATATGCAGTTTGACCATAAATGTGCATAACCTGCTTCATGGGGGTGTAGCCAACACCCTTCCCAACATTGATTCCTTGTTCTGGTTGCCAAACCTTAGATTGGGTTGAAGGTTGCTGTTTACATGTTGGCATTCATGCACTTTGCACATCTGATTAATAAGTATACATGTTTATAAAAATGGGATTGGGGAGTGTAGATAGCATAGAACTTGAGGTCCGGGGAACATATGCAGGACATTGTATGAATTCACAATCATGCATGTTGCGCCTCCTTATTGATTCAATTTTAAAAAAAAATCTCCCATTGTTCCAGCTGACAATTTAGGATTGCTTGTTTCACACATTGATAATAATGCGTGTCTTGATGAAAATTTGGTTCATCTATCTATTGTTGGTTATATGTTATTGACATGAAGAGAAGCCAATTCTATTTTTCTTTGGATAATGATGGAACTCTAAGTATCATGCTTTTTTATTTATATCCATTTCTCTATTATACATTATTAATGAACTTTCCAACTAACCTAATGATCACTTTTGCCAGAGTCTGACAGTACATAACTTCTACTTCGGAGAAGGGTCAGACATGACAGGAGTTCCAACCAAGATGCTGACAGCAAATTGTTCAATGAGAATAACAGTGCATAACCCTGCAACATTTTTTGGCATTCATGTCAGCTCCAAGTCGGTGAATCTCATGTATTCTGAGATTATAGTTGCAACTGGTGAGGTAAGAATTCTTACACTGACCACTACTTTTTGATTTAGAAGGTTTGGTTTGAGGGGAACAAATGGACCATATGTTGATGTTGATAGTCATCACCACTCTTATTACTATTTAATTCCATGTTCACATACATGTTACTGCAGTTGAAGAAATATTATCAACAGAGAAAGAGTCACCGGACAGTGTCTGTCAACCTGCAAGGAAGCAAGGTTCCTTTATATGGCGCTGGTGCGAGCTTAGCTAGCTTGGTGGACAATGGGAAAATACCAATAACACTTGTCTTTGAAGTGAAATCAAAAGGGAGTGTTGTTGGGAAGTTGGTGAGTTCTAAACATAGACAGCATGTCTCCTGCTCAGTCACCATTGATTTCCACAACAAACAACCTATCAAACTTAAAGAAAATGCATGTACATATGTCTGAGTCGTTTGGTTTTGGTCTAGCTGCAACTAGTTTCTTGTATGCTATTTCAATTCATTCAGGTGGTATGAAAAGAGAAAATTAGTCTAAATGTAATGGTACAATTTTATTTCTCCTTCCTACTAGCTATTTGTCATTTCGTTATTGATATCATCTTTCCTTGAACTAAGTTTTTTCCTGTGGTCTGTGAAAATAAGGAAATAATGACATACATATCAATGTGGACTCGCCTCAGCGATTTGATGAGTAGTTCAACTGGTTTAAACTCGTAGTTCTGATGACAAACTTGAGTAACCCAATAACTTCGTCTCTTTATTCAAGCCTCACTGTCACGGTTAAATGGGTGAGAAAAGCTGAATTATGGAGATTAAATATGGCCCCTAATCTTCCAATTATTTCCTATAATTCTGTATTAGCAGATTACATGAACCAAGACGAAGGATGAGAAGGAACTTAAAAAAATTTCCCAAACACCGTAGAGATAGATGCTTTACCTTAAATTTCGAATCTTGGTTCTGCACGCCTTTTCTTTAAAAGTTCATAAAAAGAACCCCTCGCTTGCTTTACGTAGTAGTAGCATTTGTAGTGATCCAGTTCCATTAATTAACTTTCACTATTATTCATCTCAAATATTTCATTACTTCGTTGGCTTTTATCGTAGTTTATGAGCTCATTTCCAGTTTATGTTCATTAGTTTTATGTCATTTGTTCATTAGTTTCTTGGCTTCGAGGGAACCACATAAACCCTATTTCTAAAAGGTCAATGATCCCCCCCCCAAAAAAAAATGTTTTGTTGTTTTAGCCTTTTTGGCCATAGGTATCCTTGTTTTTATTTGGCCGTCTGGAGAGGGATACAAGAATAAAAGGAATAGTGGGATATTATCCATGAGTTTTTGAGTTCAAAAAAATATTTATTCTCCATTTTCAAACAGTTTGGTAAATCCGAAGAGATTAAAAGGAAACAAACAAAATGATATTCCATGCAATTCAGTGCATACTGTCAAAAAGGTTTCCAATGCGTAGACCTATTGTGGAGATTCAGGAACAAATATCTCAAACTCTTTACAAATCCCAACATCTAATAGAAGTTAAAAGATAATATCACAAATTCTCTACGCTAATACATTCCTCCAATTCTCTCACGTCCCACACCACGCCTATCATCTCTTGCACGATTCATGAACATATCCCGGCGATAGTCTTTTGGTGGCGGGCCACCTCTAAGTGGAGAGCGGCTTCTCTCTCTGACATCACGAGCCCACCTACCACCACCACCACCACGATGGTTAGGAAGTGATGGCAAAGGAGGTGCAGGGGGTGACAGTGGCCTCCTCTCAAATCCTTTCCTTTCATTGGAGAAACCATCTCTTCCACGATCCCTATTATCCCAGTCCAGAGGGGGTGGCCTATCAAACTTGTTTCTCCCCCTGTAGGCATCATCCATGTAATCCATACGCTCTCTACGAACATGGGGATCTGGAAACCTGCCTTCATGCCTGAGGGGTGGCAGAGCAGCAGATCCATACTCTCTAGGACCATCCCTTGCCAACCCGCGAAGAGGTGGAGATCTATAGCTATTCGTATTCCTTTCTGGGGAACGATCTATTGGAGGTCCAGGAAAGCGTCTAGGAGGAGCATGAGGTTGTGGAGGAGCAGGATAACCCCTCCGTGGACTTCCAGCAGGGGCATGACGAGACCTATTACAGCTGTTACAATAGTCCCGCCTCGCAAAGTTAAGATTACCACATCTGCAAGATAGTAAAGCTAACAGATAAGATCTCAGCAGAAAGATCAACCTGTTTGGATGTTCAACCAGAATCCTAAATTTAAAAAAACTTCAGGCTAATTAACAGGTAAGAGCAATGAGTAACTCCAATGAAAAGTTAAGTCTCGTCAAAATTAGAAAGACTTGCACTTACAAGGGATCAGAACAAATCCAATCTCCCTCCCTAGGACGCACATTGGGATTATTTCTACTGTTGCCTTCCCCTCTAGCAAGTCCAGGAACAAAGCCAGGCCCATCAAAAGCTCTACCAATTGGCCTACCACCAACTCTTCCTCGACCATAAGGGGGTGAAAGGTCTCGATATCTACCAGGATCTCTCCCACCTCCATATCCTCGGCTTCGTGACAAGTGATTATAATCAGAATTAGTACGGTGAACTGCATCTCTACGGTGAACAGGAGATAAGGAACCTGCACGAGTTCTATATCCTGGGAAAACAAAGACAGTAAAGTGAGGGAAAATTTAGCATTGCAATCTACAGGCTGAAACCAAAAAAATTGTGATCATGCAACTGCCATATAATCAAGGTGACATTTCAAAGGGAAGGTTACCCCCCACACAGGGCTTCTCCTCCTCATGGATACGTATCATAATCTAAAAAGTGTGAATAGCGCAGGAAGTTTGCATGATAACACCATCAAAGTCACTTCCCAAACACCTGATCCATATTACCAAAATGTAAACAGGTTCTATGAGCAAGGCTTTCCACTAATACATAGTTACCTCCTTTATATCCTTGACCCCAATTCTTTCTATCTCTGAATGCTATATCATAGATCATGATATAGTTAAATGTAGAAATCATTTAACCTAAGCATCTGAAATATCAAACCCAAATTCAAAATATCGGAGCAACAGCAACATAAGCAGTGCAGAATAAAACAAGAACCAAGTTGAAAACCCAGTACAGAATAAGAGCTAACTCATACAAAAAGCTAATCCAAGATGATAAAACAATACACCAATGTCACTTCATCCTTTAGAAAGTAATCAAACTCAGGAGCACAAGATCAGAATGAATGCCACAAGGAAATAACCACCAACACACACCACCAAAGTGCAAAGAATCCCAAAGTTCAGTACTTCTGATTCCTTTTGGAACCATCCACTTCTCTGACTCCATTTGGAACCATCCTTGCTAGTATGCGGTGACAGCCGGAGGTAGATTCAAGCAACATAGTTGACTAATTTGCAGCAAACCATACAAAAGAATGACCCAGGCAGATAAACCCAATTGAAGCCATATACAACAATGCCAGCAACCAATGCATTCTTTTTTTTTTTGGGATGAACTATGCCCCCAAGTAACTTCAAAACAACAGGAGAAAAAATTGGACATAGAGAAGTGCATTCCTTTATTGTTAGAAGATAAGCATCCCTTTCTGTACCACCATATCAATGTCCCGGTCAATCATCCGCATGGATAACATTAAGGATTCATCAGAAGCTACACGACCACATGATAACAAAAATTCCTATATTTCCCTTGTGGAATTACAATTACTATGCTGAAAAGCAGCCTTCCATGTTGTAAATAAATAATAATCAGAATCATCCCTAATTAACCAACCAAAGAAGAAAAACCCATAGAACCTAATGACAACCACCAGCCAAAAACAATCATTGCAAGGACTACTCCAAAAGTAAACTGCTACAAAAGGATGGAATTGAAATAACCGCGAGTTCAACAAAAAAAACCACATAAACCAATAACACTAAGAAGTTTATCCTCAGTGAACATTATCTTCCCATAGGATCAGGTCAGCTTCCGAAAAGGTAGCAAATTAGCAATTACCATTGCAAGGACTATTCCAAAAGTAAACCGCTACATGTAGATGGAATTGAAATAACCGGGAGTTCAACCAAAAAAACCATATAAACCAATAACACTACGAAGTTATCATCAGAGAATATTATCTTCCCATAATATCATGTCAGCTTCCGCAAAGGTAGCAAATTAGCATTTCACCCACCCACAAAGAACTTCTTGGCGCGGAACCTAGATATACCAGCCAAACATTGGTTATAACTTAAGGTTATTTGCCAAAAACAATTTTTAATGGTCAGTTTCTGTCCTCTACAAATCCTGCAACCACATTGATGTTCTAATGCATTGCCCCCACTGTACCATGTATGACAAATACTTCAAATTGTATCCAAGATTTCATTAAACTTGACATGTCTTTACCTTCACAAATATCCCAAACCAAACATATGACCATGACTCTGCAAAATGAGAACCCATGCAACAGATTTAGTGCTGCAAAACCCCCCACATGTTCATGTAGAATGGACTATTTCCAGCACACTTATTAACCCTTTTAAATTAAAAAAAAATCCCAGATCATGATCCAAAGCTGAGTTCACAGCAACATGCCTTCCTCAAGGCCCAAGATCTTGCAGCAACATCAGAGCTGTAACACAAATGCAAAATTTATTCACTGTTGACACTCCACAATCGATGGGAAATCCATATGCGTGGCATGCACATAATGAATAGACAGCAGGTCTAACAAAACCCACATCAACAAGAAATGACAGTTTTCTTCTCACCCAACCCCCAAATTAATTCGAATGCTACAAATTCAACCATTCAATTCTACTTGAAAACCATGCTTTAACCAATTCAGACTTCAAAAACTATATCATAAACAAGTTTTCACGGCAACCATGGGCACCAATTGTTCTCACGTTTCGTTATTATCAACCAACAACTATTGGTGTTGTTATCAGTAGTTGAATTGATAATGAAATAAAACCCAATACCTATTAAACCAAAACTGAAACTAGTTTTACGGGTAGCAAGAACTGAAAAATAAATCTACAACTTCAAAGTCCAATATTCGAAAACAATAATAACAAAAAAACAGACACCAATTTTTTCAGAAACCAAATAAATTGCAACATTCAGATAAACAGAACAAGTTTCTTCAAATTTTAGGAACGAAAAATTCAAAAATCTAACCCAATCACCCGAATCATAAGCATAACGGACATAAGAGATGGAACAAACCAGGGTCATCGGAATATCGATCGGAGCGAGAATAAGGGGGAGGAGGATCTCGGTGGAGTTCGCCGGGCTCGAAATCGCCGGAACGACCACCGGCGGAGGCTCCGCCGCCGCCCTCGCTGTGGGAGGGGCGGACGACGAGGCTGCTCAAGAGAGGCTGGTGATGGTGCGGCGGCGCTTGTTCCTTGTCCCTCGATGAAGCCATAACTCTTTGTGGAGAAGATTGATTATCGCTTTTCTCAATTCTGATCTACGAGTTTCGATCACGGCGTGGCGTGGCTCATATAAACCCTAGAACCACATGCAACATTTGCTATAGTTTTTCATGAAATTACATAAAAGGACAATTATTTTTCTAATTTTGTTTTGCACCCTTTTTATTGTACATATAACAAACGGAATATTCTTAGAATTTTTGCCACAATAGAATTTTAAATTTAAGTACTCGAGTCCACTGTTAATAATTAATAAAATAAAAAACGGCACATATAACTTGAGAAATATATTTCTTAGATTGAATAAGATAATTTCCCTCGTCCAACAAACACAAAAATATTAGGTTCGATACACTTTCTTATGTGTTACATGATGGATAACTTGTACAGAAAGATTTAGTGCTCTATGCACCAAGTCACCAACGAATTCCAATGTGGTTTCAGTTTTCAATACATTCATTCAAAAACAATTTTTTGGATTTTGTTTTATTTTTTTGTGCTCGTTTCATGTGAACTTGTTATGACAATAGCTCCAGCTGCTTGCAATGAATTGCACTTGAGATCCATATGACTTTTGGAATCATGTCATTGTGTAATTTGCTAGTAGAATGCAAAAAATGTTCTGATAGATTATCATCAAAACATAAAGATGAATTATGATAGTTTTATTTGGAATATAATATATCCACTCTTTCTTCTTATCACCAATCTTATTATCATTCATAGGAGAAACTAAGGAGAGGTTTTCAAAAAAAAATAAAAATTAATATATATATAGAGAAATGATTTCACAATCTTTATATCTATAACATAACAATTTTTCTATAATATTATACTTCTTATCCTATTGATTGTAATTGCTTACAAACCACTAAATAGTCATCCATATTCATGTAACCTGGAAGTATTTCTATTCAATCTCTTCTTATTACTTTGTTTTGGAATAGCGAGTGCATTGAACTTTGTCACGGATAAAGAATAAGACTAATCCCTCGTTCGAGGGGTGAGACACATCCTTTAGCCGGTAAAGATTTTTCAAGAATTTGTTTGAAGCAGGATTTGAATTCTTGACTCAAGCAAATCCTTGAAAGCTTAATTGTCAATTGAACTATGCTTGGCTGTTTTGGATTCTTTTGTTAAAATCAGAAAACAAATTATTATATAACACCAAAAACTTCATGTATTGAAATAATTACTATTTAAGATATTTTACAAAAACTAAAATTTATTAAATACTCATAATATATATATATATATATATATATATACTGCAAACTTCAAACAAATCACAATTGGTGTGTTTAGCTGCTCTCCTAATTCTCGTGTTACTTAATGGGTGTATTTATTGAAACTAAGGTTTAAGTTTATGGGTTCTTTTCTTTTTTCATAATCTATTTGTCCAAATGTCAATTTCGGGCTAAAATTGTTGCAAATTTTTGTACAGATTTAATTATAGAAGAATTTAATAATACAAAAAACATAAAAAAAGAGTTAAGTGAATTAACCTTGAATCTTTTAATAAAATTATTTCAAGCTTTTTATATTAGGTTCATATTTTATTGTATTTATTTTGTTTATAACACAAAATATTTTATTTCCGCCCCCCACCAAAAAAATTCTGGGTTAGCCACTATTATCCTTGGATGAAAATTCAATTAACGGCTCCAATATAATATCAAGTGAGCGCCAATGATATTATTTTGATCGAACAATAATAAAACTTGTGGAAAGAGGTACTTAGAAAGAAAGAAAAGTGGTAAGTCTAATATCTCCCGATTTATTTTTAACCCGGCAAAGGGTTAGAGAAGGTAATTACCCTCGTTATACAAATCTTAGTATTAGGCCCTGTTTAAACTTCAAAGAAATATAATGTAACATAAGTTTGCACCCCTTCAAGTTTAATCTTTCAATTTTTTATCTTATTATTCTTCGTATATAATGAAAACTTGGAGGGTTCTTCGAATTTGGTTACATATAGGAGAAAAAGTTATTTTCGACTTATAAGAGAAATATTAATTTCAAAAATATATAATTAAATAAAGAATTTAATTTTTTTTCGATAACTTATATTCTCTGATTTAAAAAATATATATCATTTTGAAGGGAGAAAGATGCTTTTATAATTTTAATTTATGTTAAGACTATATTAATTTTTATCATTATAATTTTTTTTTCTAATCCTAAATTATGTCATTTTGCAGTAATATGAGATAATTTTATTTCTTTATGCAACTGAAAAAATATTAAACCCTTAAATAAATTACCGATTTAATTTTAAAAAACTAAGTTAACATTAATTTATTATGAGACTACTTTAATTTAATTTTTAAATACATAGGTGGTGGGTGAATGATGCAGGAGGGGGCCACGTGTGAGTGAGGCGTTGAAAGAAAGAAGAAAAAACAAGATCTAGACCGATAGTCTCTGAGGTGGGTCACTCACTATTTTACGTAACAGTGACTTAACTATTTATTTAAGACCAAATCATTATTATAAAAATTGACACCTGTCCCAGTCCTCACTCCATGGAATCGTGTCCTTTTGTGGTCCAAACCCACCAACTGTCCATTTCCAACCCATAAAGAATCCTATTTTTTTTTTATATCTACAAAAAAAAAATTCTTATTTTTTTTTTAAAAATCACAATTTTCCTATGGAAGATAATTTTATTTGGGTGAATTTAGAATTAATATTTTATATCTCTTTTAATGCGATAAGTGTACTGAATTTGGTACATCTATTTTTTCTTTTTTTTTGGTATGAAATTCGATACATCTATTTACTAAATGAGAAAAATTTAAATAGATATAAAAAACCCAGGGATTAAAGTGAAATTTTTTTACCCCTTTTCAGTATACCATACCAAATATACCAAAAATTTGATCCTTCCAAATATAATATTGGAAAGGATTCAACATTTGTTCAGAGCTCTCCTATTATTTTTGGAAAACATCTTTCATTTTAATTAAAAAATATTTAATTTTTTTTAATAAAAAAAACATAAAATCTAGTGAGATTAGTAATTTAATATAAAATTAGTTAATTAATTACCTAGTATTGGTTCTCTGTTTTCGTTAGCTTTATCTCTGCCATTCTCGGGATCCTTCCTTTACTTTCTCCTCAAACCAACGACACTATTGATTGGATTTCTCTTTTCTGTTTTCCTTCGCAAACCTACAACAACCTGGCGCACGATAGCACCAACGCTTTTAGTTTCGTAATAACTGTTTCTGTTTCACAACCGTAATTATTTTCACTTCCAAACCCGAACAAACTCCTTGAAAATTTTCCTTCCTCTTTCTGTTTTCCTTCTCTGAACCGAACGGAGGATCTGTCATCTGAGTCAGAGTCACAGAATCAGAGAGAGAGAGAGAGAGCTTTACGATCGGAGCTCTCTGTTGATTGGTGTGTATTCAGCTGCGATTTCATTTTCTTCTCTGTTGTTTGGTGCGTATTCAGCTGCGATTTCATTTTCTTTTGTTTTTATTTCATTCTCCATTTTTTTGTTCTGTTTGTTTCACCTCGATTCAGTTTTGAACAAGTTTTCATAGATTCCGTGCTGTTGTCTCTCTTAATTTTTTTAATTATTACTTTCTCTTCCCTGTTTTCATATATATACATTTATATATATTTATGTATGAAGAAAAAACAATCGTAAGTTTGTGTGATTACTATAATTCGGTTTTGGTAATTTTGTTTGATTCAGTAGAGATAAACTGATGACTCTGTTAGTTGCAAGTTCTATTATGTGAAATGACTACTGAGTGGTGTTTGAATCTGTCTGATGAAGATGAAATTGCATGAAGGTAAAGGTAATGGGTTATTGTTGATGAAAATTTGCGCTGCAACATGCTTGAATTTCAGTTTTAGCTTAGATTTGGAGAGAACAGAGTTGTGAAGGTTTTAGTTTGCTCCCCTGTAATGTTCACGACCGGAAAAGTTGTATATGTGGCAGCCTTGCCTCCAGAATTGGGAGAAGATGGATTAAAATGCTGTCTGAACACTTTATTTGATAACAACTAAGAATTATGTCTTGATTTCTCAGAGAAAGAATATATATATATATATATATATATATATATATATATATATATATATATATCTTTTTGGGTTCCAGTATTGTTAGTGTCTAACAAATTATTAAACTGTGATTTTGCAGTTAAAGTTTATATAAAGGAAAAATGTTCCTTACTAAATTTTTCAGTTATGCTGATTCAGGAAGCGAGCAGGTCAAATATTGGCATGTGGGGGCATTATCGTGAAACTTCATCTATGTACAAACGAACTCCTTCAAGAGATAATTCAAACATGGATGACGTGGAAGAAAACTCAGGTATCGCCCCCTTATTGAACCTTTGCAAAATGTACTTCAGGTTATCAGACATCTGTTAGTACTTAGTTCCACTTTGTTGTGGAATATAGCGTCTAACCTAAATACCTCCTGAAGGAAATTTCCTACCTGTGCAACTATTGCCATCTTTCCAATATAATCCTTTCAAGATTTCATTATTCAGAAGAAATGACAAATCATCTAATCTTGAAAGAGATCCATGATCCATCTGGCTTTTTCTTCTATGCTGTTGCTATTGACAATTTTCAATTGACTGTCAGAGCTGAAAATGATAATTGAAAAGATGCCCTGGGTTAATGATGTACTGCAAATTTTGATGAGGTCTTTAATCATGATGAATGCTAACCATGCTATTTTACATGCCTGATAGATCTTTTAGACAACTGCTTGGATAAGGAAACCTCAAATCCTTCATGGAAGCTTTCCTTACCGCATGTACTTGTGGCAACCATTTCTTCGTTCCTATTTGGATACCATCTCGGGTTCGTTCCTCCATAATTTCTCCTCTACCATGCCCTCTCTTGGTTTCTTGACTTTAATTGAGAATCCATTAAAGACGTCACTTTTTATCCTTTGTTTTTTTGGGTTCTATTCAGAGTAGTTAATGAACCACTTGAGAGCATTTCCGTGGATCTTGGCTTCAGTGGAAATACCTTGGCTGAAGGTGACACAGAAGATTCCAAAACCCGTGCTTAATTTGATGTCGTATTATAAATTTCTAATAATTAGATTTGGCTCTTTTGTTTCAAATGAAGGCCTGGTGGTGAGCATTTGTCTTGGTGGTGCCTTGATTGGATGTCTACTGAGTGGCTGGATTGCTGATGGGGTGGGGCGTCGTAGAGCTTTCCAGTTGTGTGCTTTGCCAATGATAATCGGTGCTTCTATGAGGTCATATTTCCGGAACCAATATATGTTGTTTGATTCACTCTTCTTCTTTTTTTCTGTGGAATAAATGGGAATTTTCTTTGCAATTTATGGTTTTATCCCTCTTGCATTGGAGATTATGCGCTATGATTTAATTTTAAATCCATCTATTGTACATTTGCAAGGAGGATATTTATTATAAGTCTTTAAGGCTCTTTCTATGGATAACTAAGCTCGTCCTTGTCAATTTCATGCCACTGTAGTATAGCCAGGATATTATCATTTCCTGTCCTTGTGATATGATAGTAAATTAACATCTGTTGGTCTGCAGAACTACTAAGATTAACAAGTATGAATTGATTGATGTAATCGCACTTAGTTTTTATTTGTTGGCTCTTTAGGTTTCAATTGTTTTTGAGAGGTTGATCTGTTGGTCACTTTGGAAGCGCAGCATAGATTATTTAATGTGTTGAAATCTTTTGTTGTTGTTGTTGTTTTTTTCTTCTTTTTTTTGTAATTTGTGATAAAATCTTTTTACATGTTTCTTCCCTATCCCTAATGTACCTCACTGCCATCTTATGGTTTCCATAGGACCTCTTCACCTATGATGATATTTTCATGTTCCTTGTCAGTTCTAGAAAAGAGGATATGCTTTTCTTCTTTCATATATGCAAAGAACCTTGGGATACACCACCCCAAAAGCTAGCTCTAAGGGTGGGAGTGTCCAAGGTCTTATAAACTCCACATTAGTTGCACATACAACCAATGTGTGACTATATATCTCAACACGCCCCCTCACACGAGAGCCCATTGGGCTTGAAGAGTGGACAATGCAACAGGCCCAGCCTACCTGTGCTAAAAAATTCCACAAGAGAAAGTGGGGGGCGGCGAAGATCGAACCCGGGACACGAGGCTCTGATACCATGCAAAGAACCTTGGGATACACCACTCCAAAAGCTAGCTCTAAGGGTGGGAGTGTCCAAGGCCTTATAAACTCCACATTAGTTGCACATACAACCAATGTGCGACTATATATCTCAACAATATATTTTGATCATATCCTCTCTTTGGAAGGGAATAACATAACACAGCAAATCACCGGTTTTTTGAATTTCTAGATTTGGTGGACAGGGTGTGCTTTAAGCAGACCTTCGGTTTTGATTTTAAGGGGCAATGGTTAGATTTCCTTAGTGCTATACATGTTATACTACAGTCCAAATGTTCTTCAAGTTGCTTTTACTGAAACATCTAACCCCTCTGTGGATTTCAATTCGGTCAAGTGGCAGTCTTTACCTTTATGTTTTCATATATAATTCTTATGGCTGATTTCCTGATTGGAAAATTCTGCATTTTCAGTTCAGCAACAAACAACTTGTTTGGCATGCTTGTAGGAAGGTTATTTGTTGGGACTGGCCTGGGCTTGGGCCCTCCTGTTGCCTCTCTGTATGTGACAGAGGTATGTTTACAGTTGGCCCATTGTATATGGCCCAACCATTGATTCAAGAAACTCGTAGTCAACTAGAGTTGTAGCCCAATAAGTATGGTCCAATTGTTGAAAAAGGCAATGATTTGAAATATAACAAATTACAATCGAATCCAAGTCCCAATAAAGCAGCAGATGTGATTGTGATTTGTTTGGGAAGAAAAGGAAAGCAACATATTTGGCATGATTTGAGATTAAAGATTTGGAATGTATTTTGAATTATTTATTTGTAATTTATTTATTTATTTTTAGATGTTAATTACTGTTATTTTATTTTAGGAAGTTTTATTATTTTTAGAATTTTAGATTTAGAATTTTGAATCACTTTGTAATTAGTCTATAAAAAGGTGCTTATGACCCTTATTCTAGGAGTTGAATATTTTGATATTTTGTTAATTATAATTGAGAACCGGAAGGTTACTCTTTTGAGAAAATCCCAACTTTCTGTTTAGCCACTTTTCTATGCGCTTTCGGCATCATTTGGTATCAGAGCACTAGTTTTCCTTCAACCAATGGCTGAAGAGAATCGTGGAGGTCGACAACGGCGTAGTCACGAGGGTAGGGAACGTGGATTCGTTCCTGAAGAATATAGACAACTGCGTCAGATTGACCCGCGAGATATCGAAAATGAAGAGCTCGGAAGGCGGATCCAGGATTTGAAGCAACAACTTGAGCAAGCGTTGGATAAGAAAATCCAAGTTTTGAAGCGACTATGTGTGTGGGCACAGAGAAAGAGAATTCAAGATTTGGAGGAACGACTCATGCGGGTATGCATGAAAATTCAAATTTTGAAGCAAACTCTTGCGGAGGTGCAGAGCATGAAAATTCAATATTTGGAGCGACGACTTGCGTGGACAAAGTTGGGCATTCAATTCGAAGAAGGAATGGAATTAGATGACGCATCTGATGACGAAGAAGAGGACGTCAATCCCTTGGGGATTCTAAACCAGGGACAGAATTGGGAAGTACGACCTGGAAATCAGTCCACTTTTCAAGATATCGAGATGCAAATTAGCATTCCTGACTTTGATGTCTATGATCATAATCTAGTTTGTGATGATGATCCGATCTATAATGATGATCCAATTTATGATGATTATCCGATTGTTGATAATTATCCCATTTATGATGATTATCCATCTTATGATGATAATCCAGTCTATAATAAATCTGATGGTGAATCAGATTATGAAGATCTAATAGAGGAAGATTTATCATTTGAATTTTTGTCTAAAGATATTGAGATCAGTGGAGATAAACAAGATTCGAGGACGAATCTTTTCCTAGCAAGGGAGAATGATGCACTTATAGTTGGCCCATTGTATATGGCCCAACCATTGATTCAAGAAACTCGTAGTCAACTAGAGTTGTGGCCCAATAAGTATGGTCCAATTGTTGAAAGAGGCAATGATTTGAAATATAACAAATTACAATCGAATCCAAGTCCCAATAAAGCAGCAGATGTGATTGTGATTTGTTTGGGAAGAAAAGGAAAGCAACATATTTGGCATGATTTGAGATTAAAGATTTGGGATGTATTTTGTATTATTTATTTGTAATTTTTTATTTATTTTTAGATGTTAATTACTGTTATTTTATTTTAGGAAGTTTTATTATTTTTAGAATTTTAGATTTAGAATTTTGAATCACTTTGTAAGTAGTCTATAAAAGGGTGCTTATGACCCTTATTCTAGGAGTTGAATATTTTGATATTTTGTTAATTATAATTGAGAACCGAAGGGTTACTCTTTTGAGAAAATTTCAACTTTCTGTTTAGCCACTTTTCTATGCGCTTTCGGCATCAGTGGGAGTGTCTAAGGCCTTATAAACTCCACATTAGTTGCACATACAACCAACGTGCGACTATATATCTCAACAATATATTTTGATCATATCCTCTCTTTGGAAGGGAATAACATAACACAGCAAATCACCGGTTTTTTGAATTTCTAGATTTGGTGGACAGGGTGTGCTTTAAGCAGACCTTCAGTTTTGATTTTAAGGGGCAATGGTTAGATTTCCTTAGAGCTATACATGTTATACTACAGTCCAAATGTTCTTCAAGTTGCTTTTACTGAGACATCTAACCCCTCTGTGGATTTCAATTCGGTCAAGTGGCAGTCTTTACCTTTATGTTTTCATATATAAATTCTTATGGCTGATTTCCTGATTGGAAAATTCTGCATTTTCAGTGCAGCAACAAACAACTTGTTTGGCATGCTTGTAGGAAGGTTATTTGTTGGGACTGGCCTGGGCTTGGGCCCTCCTGTTGCCTCTCTGTATGTCACAGAGGTATGTAAATGGCTGCATCTGTCTCATTGACTAGGCTGAAGATTTACTTGGTTATTCATGCAATTACTATCTTGAATGGCAGGTTTCTCCTGCTTTTGTGCGAGGTACCTATGGAGCCTTCATCCAGATTGCTACATGCCTTGGTCTAATGGGAGCTTTATTTATTGGAATTCCTGTCAAAGATATTTCTGGATGGTATGATATAAATCTTGAATTCATGTTATGTATTTACACGTGACTTTTAAAAATATACCCTGAATTTTTTTGCTCAGGTGGCGGGTCTGTTTCTGGGTATCTACCATTCCAGCTGCTATACTTGTTCTGGCTATGTTCTTCTGTGCAGAGTCTCCACATTGGCTATACAAGGTTGACACCTACTATTAATTCATCTTCTATTTTTTTTTTTTGGTACATTGCCAGGAGGTATCCCCATTCAACCTTCTCCGGACACCATGCCCTCGGGGTACGGCCCGTTTGGGCTAGCCCCTCATTGTAACAGTGGATGCACTAAGCTTCGTGGTTTATCATTATTTGATTTGTAACTAATTGATTCTGTATTTGTTTAAATCCCTCAAAAACTCTATGTTAATGTTGCTAATGGTTTGTTGAAGATGTCCTTTTATGTTGCCTCTGTTTCTTTATACATTTGCAATTAAGTGCCAGCTTGATTATCAAGTGTAACAATAGAATACTCCAGAACATAAAAAGCCTAGAGGATTAATATGCAATATTTTTTTCGGTGTTGCATATTTAACCCGTCTCATGGCAAATATACAGGGATAAGAATACGTACAATCGACCCTCACCTCTAGCCTCGCAAAGTCAAGGAGCTTTTGTGCACTGGGGGTTTCCCTTTTATGCTTAACCTATCCATGCTGATTAATTTTGTTGTTTTTGTAAAGAACCAATTCAACCCAAAAGCTTAATGATTTATATCATTCTCTAACACGTCCCCTCACACGAGAGCTCACTGGGCTTGAAGGGTGGACAATGCACAGGCCCACCTACCTGTGCTAAGAATATTCCACAAGAGAAAGTGGGGGACGGTGATAATCGAACTCGGGACACGAGGCTCTGATACTATGTAAAGAACCAATTCAACCCAAAAATTTAAGTTTGTGGGTGAGGGCTTTTTAATGGTTTATATCATTCTCTAACAGTTTTTTCTTTCTAGTGATGAAATTTAGAATCCAAAATGAAGTGAAATCAGGATGCCAATATTTTTCTTTTACTCTTTGGTTTGCCAAATTTTATTTTTATTCTTTACCCTCTCCCCGATCTTAATCCCATAGTTTTAGTCCTTATCAGTCAGCAAAAACAATGAGGTGCATTGATGTCCTAGTGCTCATGTTTCTGGAAAGTTTTTACTCAGTTGTATGCATGTCATCGTTTTCCTATTTAATAGAAGACTTCTGGAGTGTTACTAACATTTGACATATTGTCCACGTGTCTTTTTATCTTTGTGAGACATGGTTTATAATAGTTTTTTGTCCTTATTAGTCAACAAGACAACGAGGATCTTCATGTCATAGTGATTGTAGTTCTTGAAAGTTTCTTCTCACTTCTATTCATGAATGTTCAGCGTGTATCTTCTGACTCCTCATCCCTTGCATAATCCTTGATCATTCCTCTCTGTTGTGATATAGCAAGGAAGAACTGCTGAAGCAGAAGCTGAGTTTGAGAGGCTTCTGGGTGTATCAGAAGCAAAATTTGCAGTATCAGAGTTATCCAAGGTAGAAAGAGGAGATGATACTGATGCTGTGAAGCTCTCGGAATTGGTTCGTGGACGTCATTTTAAAGGTATATGTTTTTCCTGGCTTACCACTAGGATAGTTAGTGAATATATTTGTTATTGTTGTTATCTTGTGACTGGCTTCTTGAGGTTGTCAAAATTTATTTTTATTCACGAGTTCGTTTTGCAGTTGTTTTTATTGGATCAACCCTATTTGCTTTACAACAGCTATCTGGTATAAATGCTGTATTTTATTTCTCTTCAACTGTTTTTAAAAGTGCTGGAGTGCCATCAGACGTTGCAAATGTCTGCATAGGAGTTGCTAATTTGGCAGGTGCATATGCCTTCTGGTTGCCAGGTTTTACATCTATAGGTATTGAGCTATTCTATTCTTAAATGCTAATTTTTTTTTTCTGCTTTCCTCAGGATCTATCGTTTCAATGATTTTGATGGATAAGCTTGGAAGGAAGGTTCTTCTTTTCTGGAGTTTCTTTGGCATGGTAAATTATGCATAGATATTCTATTAAATTTTGTTTTTTAATATCCCAATTGTAGCATGTCATTATATTAAGGGTGATTATCACGCACATGAAAATATGGAACTCAAGGGGGAGTTATGGTTATCAAGATGAGGTGTTGTATGGAGTATGAACTAGTGCTGAGTGTACAACATTATAGAACAGGGGGAAATAACATCATAGAACAGGGGGAAATGCGCTTTGTTGTGATCAGTGGTGGACCCAAAAAAAATTTATTTATGTCAGCACACTTATTGTTTGAGAGTTTGCATTAAAAATAATAATTGTCATCAAATGCGCAACAATAAGTCTGCCACTGGTAGGTACCCACACCAAGTCTAATAGCAATGAAATCACAATGTGCAACGCCAACAGTACGTAGAAAATAAAATTTTATATACATGTTCTTGGAATCCTCTGTTTCGTGCAGAAAATTGTTCTTTAACCAAGCGTTCAACACAACAATTCTAGAGATGTAAAAGTAACAAAGCAAACCCCAAATCCAGATAATTTAACTTAGAACTCTAAACTCTGAAGTGGGTTGCTGCTAAAAATCAAGAAGAGATCAAACATGGGAAGGAAGAAAGGAAAAAGAAGACGACAAAAAAAAAAGAGGGAGAAAAAAAAAAGTGGTAGTAGTTTCTATCACTTAGCAACAAAAGTCATTGAAACTAATGGAAATTGCAACAAAAACAACCCTATAACGACAAATAATAAAAAAAAATCATGTCTGCACTTGCGGATACTTACTACTGAATAGGTCCGCCACTGGTTATGATATGGTGCGTGTATTGTTTTTGTTAGAAATAATATAATATTATATAGGATTGTATTATTTATTATTCTGTTATTCTAGTAGGTTATTTGGGCTTGGTCTATTAGGTCATTTAACCTCTTTAAATAGAGGTCTTTTGTACAGTTCTATACACAATTGAATACAATACATTCATACATTATAATTTGGTATCAGAGCTCTTTGTTCTAGAGATTTTTCGCTTCCGCTAAAACCCTAAGCCCACTGCTTAGGCGTTCTCTCCTTCCTCTAACGCCGTGCGTCCCTCCGGCTTGGTTTTACACTGATTTTTCGCTTCCGCTAAAACCCTAAGCCCACTGCTTAGGCGTTCTCTCCTTCCTCTAACGCCGTGCGTCCCTCCGGCTTGGTTTTACACTGTTCACGCGGGTTTTCAAAAAAAAAATACTGTTCATCGCGTCCGTACAATCCGTACAGATTTACTGTTCACCGCGTCAGTACAGTCTGCCCAGATTCACTGTTCATCGTCCGTACGATTCACTGTTCATAGCCCCGTACAGTTGTACTGTTCATCCGTTCCATACAGATATATTGTTCACCGTCTGTACAGTTTTACTGTTCACGCGTCTGTACAGGTACTGTTCACGCAAAAAAAAAATATTTTCGACCATTCCGAGACAGAACAGCTCGCCTTCCTCTCCTATTTTCAGATCTGGCCATCTCCTTTATTTTATTTTGTGATGGAGGGCTCAAGTAATGCATCCAAAAACACGACTGACATCATCTCCAGTACTGCCCCATCTCCATTCTTTTCTCGTGCCAGTGATTCTAATTGGAACAGTGGCCGCGACAGAGGCCTTGTTGCAATTATTGCCAGAATCTTGAGCATTCTGAAGAACGCTGCTATAGGAAGTACCCTCATTTGAAGCCACCGACTGCCAACTTTGCTCAAACTGATGCTACACCACCTTCTACTGGATTAGTAACTCTTTCAAGTGCCGACTATGAGGCACTTCTCAATAAGGTTTCTTCTCAGCATCCTACTCAAGACACTGGTAATCATGTTGCTTGTTTTTATAAATCATCTCTTAGACCCTGGATAATAGACTCAGGTGCTACTCATCATCTTTGTAGTAATAAAGATCTCTTCACTTCACTTTCTTTTTCTAATAACCTACCCTCTCTCTCTTGCTGATGGCACTAAGGCTCTTGCTCGTGGAATTGGGGAAGCCAATCCAACTCCCCTTTTAACTTTGCGTTCTGTTTATTATATACCTGGCATTCCTTTTAATTTAATCTCTGTTAGCCAGTTGATTCATTTTCTTTCATGTACTGTCACCTTCTCTAAACAATCCTTTTCTATGCAGGATTCGGGTACGGGGAAGACGATTGGAGCGGGCATTGAGTCATGAGGTCTCTATTATCTGATTGCACCACCTTCTCCAGTAGCATGTTCTCTCACAGAGTCTCCTAAGCTAATTCACAGCCATCTGGGTCATCCAAGCCTCTCCAAGCTTCGGCATATGGTTCCTTTTTTATCCAGTCTTAAGTCTTTAAACTGTCATTCTTCCCAGCAAGGAAAGCACACTCACTCCTCCTTTGCTAATAGAGTCAATAAAAGAGCTGATGCTCCTTTTTATATTGTTCATTCTGATATTTGGGGTCCGAGTCGAACAATCTGTTTTGGGTTTTCAGTATTTTGTCACCTTTATTGATGATTTCTCTCGTTGCGCTTGGGTTTATCTAATGAAAAATCGTTCCGAATTATTTTCAATTTATTAAAAAATTTGTGCTGAGATAAATACTCAATTTGGTGCTTCTATTCAAATTTTGCGTAGTGATAATGCAAAAGAATATGTGTCTCTTGAGTTTTCTAATTTTTGGAGAAACGTGGGACGTTACACCAGACCACTTGTCAACACACTCCACAACAAAATGGAGTGGTCGAACGTAAGAATCGGCATCTGGTTGAAACTGCTCGTACCCTACTAATTCATATGAATGTTCCACTTCGTTTTTGGGCAGATGTTATAATCACCTCTTGCTTTCTCATCAATCGCATGCCCTCTTTCGTACTCAATAACGAAGTTTCACATAGTGTTTTATTTCCAGAAGCACCTTCCTATCCTCTACCTCCACATGTATTTGGATGTACCTGCTTTGTTCATGATCTTACTCCAGGAAAAGATAAATTAACATCCAAAGCCTTCAAGTGTATTTTCCTTGGATATACTCGTTTTCAAAAGGGGTATCGTTGCTACTCTCCTGATCTCAAGCGTTATATTATCTCGGTTGATGTCACTTTCCTTGATTAACAACATTTTCATTCTATCCCATCTCAGATAACACAAGTTAATCAAGTTCTTCCTGTTCCTTTTCTTGATTTGCCTTTACCAGTTGTAGGAGACTCTATCCCGGAGGAGCAGCCCCTTGCCTCCATCCCTAAAGACCATCCTTTTCTCACCTATCAGCGTTGTTAGACTGCGCCTCCAGCGGATTTGACCCTTACTGACTCACCGCCTGCGACTGTCGACTCTTCCCCTCCGAATCCTCCATCAGAAATTACTCCCATTGCCCTTCGCAAAGGTATTCGATCCACTCGTAACCCTCATCCACTTTATAGTTTCTTGAGTTATGATAGACTTTCTTCACCACATTTTACTTTTGTTTCTTGTATTTCGTCTATTTCTTTTCCTAAAACCACAGGTGAAGCACTCTTTCATCTGGGTTGGCGTCAAGCAATGATTGATGAAATGCAAGCACTTCACTCCAATGGCACATAGGATCTTGTTCAAGCTACTCCTGGAAAGTCAGTTGTCGGTTGTCGATGGGTATTCACTGTCAAGGTTGGTCCTGATGGCACTGTTGATCGCCTCAAAGCTCGTTTGGTGGCCAAGGGATACACTCAGATATTTGGTCTTGACTATGGGGATACTTTTTCTCCTGTTGCCAAGATGGCATCTGTTCGCCTATTTCTTGCACTTGCTGCCATTCATCAATGGCCTCTTCTACAGCTTGATATCAAAAATGCATTTTTACATGGTGACTTGCAAGAGGAAGTATATATGGAGCAACCAGCAGGTTTTGTTGCTCAGGGGGAGAATTCTGGAATGGTATGTAAGCTTCGGAAATCTTTATATGGCCTGAAGCAGTCCCCTCGGGCTTGGTTTAGTCGCTTTAGTTCTGCTGTTCAATCCTTTGGCTTAACTAGAAGTAAAGCCGATCATTCTGTCTTCTATAGGCATAGCTCTTCTGGCTAGTGGATCTATCTCCTGGTCTATGTTGATGACATCATTATTACTGGCAGCGATCAAGTTGGGATTGATCAGTTAAAGAAGTACTTGTTCAATCAGTTTCAGACCAAAGATCTTGGCAGACTTCGATATTTCTTAGGGATCGAAGTGGCACACAGTCTAGGCAGGGCATCTCTATTTGTCAGAGGAAGTATGCACTGGATATCCTAGATGAGACTGGTATATTGGATGTAAACCTATCGATACACCTATGGATCCTAATGTTAAGCTGTTACCCAGACAGGGGGAGCCATTGGCAGACCCTGGTCGTTATCGCCGGTTAGTTGGAAAGTTGAATTATCTTACTGTGAGAAGACCAGACATCTCTTTTGCAGTTAGTGTGGCAAGTCAATTCCTTGACTCTCCTTGTGACTCCCATTGGGATGCAGTTATCAGGATTCTTCGATATATCAAAAGAGCACCAGGAAAAGGTTTATTATACTCAAATAAAGGGAATGCAAAGGTATCTAGCTATTCAGATGCTGACTGGGCAGGTTCTCCTTCAGACAGACGATCCACCTCGGGGTATTGTGTTCTCCTTGGAGGAAACTTGATCTCTTGGAAAAGTAAGAAGCAAACTGTGGTCGCAAGGTCAAGTGCAGAGGCAGAATATCGGGCAATGGGAAATGCAACATGTGAGCTCATCTGGTTATAACAATTGCTTAAGGAACTACATCTCTGTGAACAGCAGCCCATGTAGCTCATTTGTGACAATCAAGCAGCATTGCATATATCTTCTAACCCAGTCTTTCATGAGAGGACCAAACATATAGAAATTGACAGTCACTTTGTTAGAGAGAAGATTCAATCAGGAGAGATAGAAACAGCATTTATCAATTCCAGTGATCAACTTGCAGATGTTTTCACCAAGGCTCTGAGAGGTCCCCGAATAGATCATATATGTAACAAGCTGGGAGCTTATGATATATACATATCAGCTTGAGGGGGAGTGTTAGAAATAATATAATATTATATAGGATTGTATTATTTATTATTCTGTTATTCTAGCAGATTATTTGGGCTTGGCCCATTAGGTCATTTAACCTCTTTAAATAGAGGTCTTTTGTACAGTTCTATACACAATTGAATACAATACATTCATACATTATAATTGTTTTGAATAAGATAAAATTGGCCTTTAATCATAAAGTTGTTTGTTATATTTTGTACTGCATAGGCAATATCAATGATCCTTCAAGCCACAGGAGCAAGTTCACTTGTTTCAAACCTGGGAGCAGCTCTGTACTTATCTGTTGGGGGCATGTTAATGTGAGTATGCTTTAACTATGGGTAAATTTAAATTCATGTTTCTATAAATTCTGAATTGCATTCTCTTAGCTGTAGAGAAGATTCTTCTGCTTACGTTTGTTTGGTCACGATTAGATTATAGGTGATTTTTCAAAAGAGAAAAATTAAAGCATTCATACTCATCTTTCAAGCGAGAAACAAGTAGGAAGTGTAAAGGTGATAATATGCTGATGCTTGTAATTGAACTTTTTTCAGTTCCGTGAAAAACATTTTAATATTGATATGACTGTCAAAGAAATCATGTGCTGTGCCTGTAATTAGAACCTTTATTGGTAATTATGAATCAGCAAAATTCATCAAGTATGAGGGCTGCATTTTACTTGGTATACATCTTTGTATGTGTGTAAATTGAGGATGAAATGACAATGAACTGAAACTTCTACATCTAATTACTTAGTCCTCGTTGTCCAAGTTCTAGCAGCGCTGTAAAGTGTACACAATTGTCACTTGGAACAATCACCTTGGGGTAGGGTGCATGCAGTGCCTTTTGGACAGACACTGCTGGAATATGAACACTTTATTTACTTCCATGCAGGTTTGTCTTAACATTTGCTCTCGGGGCTGGCCCAGTTCCAGGTCTCCTTCTACCCGAAATCTTTCCTAGTCGAATTAGAGCCAAGGCCATGGCAGTCTGTATGTCAGTGCATTGGGTAATTTTCTTCTGCTTTAATTCATAATTTTTTTCTGCTTTAATTCATAATTTTGTTGTGTCCTATTATAAAACAGTATTAGTTATAATTGGCTGCATACCCTTCAGTCTTGATGAGTTTGGCGGGGTATGTTTTACGGTTTTAATTGATTCTATGATGTTGCTGAACTCTACCATGATTGAATTAAGAAAATGAAACCTGCTGAAATTTCCTGCAGTCTTTGCAAACTAGTCAAACAAAACCAATATCTGTTTTCGTAATGACTTATAAGAAGGGGCAATTCATTATTTATAGTGAAATTTTATCAATTATCTGTTCTCATTATGACTTATAAGAAGGACCAAGCTCATTATTTATGGAATCCTTTTCTCATTAGATTCCTGATTGTGTATTATACAGGTCATAAATTTCTTTATTGGATTACTGTTCTTGCGTTTGCTGGAGAAACTTGGTCCGCAGCTGCTTTACTCTATCTTTGCTACCTTTTGCATGATGGCAGTAATTTTTGTAAAAAGAAATGTGGTGGAAACCAAAGGGAAGTCGCTTCATGAAATTGAGATTGCACTTCTTCCACAGGACTAGAGGTATCTTCTATTTTGCATAGTTTGCGCTATCATAGTTTCAGCTGAGCAGGCTGCGTTTCATCTATTTCCGTCCACCTTAATGGTACAAGAAGAAGTTCAAGGCAGGAACTATGCATTGTTTTAGTGTAACATTAATTCGAAGAGGCTTCGATACACGGTTTCCGGCTTACTACACTATTTCATCTGTTCTCTGTTTGGGTCTGTGGAATCTCTGATTTTGCGTCCACCAAAAAAAAAATATATCAAAAGTGGGAAATCTATGTATCCCATAATATTAGCCAAATGTACTGCATGTAAAATGTACTGTATGTAATATATTTGTCTACGTCTGTACGTGACAATTTTTAATCGCTTGAATATTGTTTCATTTTGGATAGCGAGTAGTATAACATATCAAATTATGTCGTAGAGTATGTAGATTGGGCAGCTGAAGAAATACTTAGATCCGTAATTAGGAATTTTTGGTTTACAAACATTTTATATATCTAATATGGATATAATAATCAGGATTGGACCGATGAATCTAAACCATGATAAAAAAGAGAGAGAAAAAGAAGAAAAGGTTTTAGTTGAAAGGTACACACAAAGGGGGGTGGGTAATTCAATTTGTAAATTTATAACACTTACGAAAAAATTGTTAATAATTATATATTTTTTTAAAGATATATTTGAAATTAATCAGTTAAGTTATTGGTGTATTATACAAACTTTTTAATTTAATATCTATAATAATAATTTTTATTTTAAAAAATAACTTTTAGAAAAAATGCCATGTGACATTGTGATAGAAGAAATTTTATATAATATATATTACTTTCAGAATATCTGAAAAGATGTCGTAGGCAAAATGTGTATGCAATCCAAGAACTAAAACCTTTTAACTTGCGTTTGTCATCACTGAATCTTCCATGTTCGTGCTTTGTGAATGCTTCTCCATAACTCCACGTTTAATTACGCACTTCTGATGAATCTTCATTATAGAAAACTTGCCAAAGCCACATCTTTTGTTTTGTAAAACATTCAAGGTGGAGAAGTTCGTTCAAGCAAAATGTTGAGGATGCATAGTTTTTAGAGAAGATAACGATGGCCATCCAAAGAGAGAAGTAACAAAAACAGTTTGAATTGAAGTGCTCACCTTTCATTTACAGATTGCAGCCTTAAATAGAGGCTTGATTACAAAAATCAGAATCTCCTAATAAAGGTGCCTTAAATAAAAGGCTTGATTATGGATTATCAGAATTAAATAAAAGGCTTGATTACAGATGATCAGAATCTCTTAATAAAGAGCAATTACAAACTGATCAGAATCTCCTAATAATCCTAACATATTAACAGAATCCTTAAATAAAGGCTTGATTACAGATGATCAGAATCTCCTAATAAATGCTTGATTACATATTGTTACAGCTTTCTTGATACGCCCCCTCAAGTTGGAGCATGGAGGTATGAAATGCCCAACTTGAACAGTAAAAATTGGAATTGTTTTCGCCCAAGTGCCTTAGTGAGGATATCCGCTGGCTAGACATCAGTTCGAATATGAGCCGTACGTATGTTTTTGGACTTTTGTCCGTTCATGAAAAATGGGATTCGAAGCAATGGGAAAGGTAGATTGACTATCACAGAACAATTGCATGGGACGTTGATGATGAACGCCAAGAGATTGCAAAAATGATTTGAGCCATAAAAGTTCTGCTGTAGCACTTGCCATCGATCTATATTCTGCTTCGGCAGAAGAGCGAGACACAGTATGTTGTTTCTTTGTCTTCCAAGAGATAGGAGAGGAACCTAGAGTGACAAAGTAACCAGTAACAGATCGTCTAGTAATTGGACAACTTGCCCAATCTGAGTCACAATATGTACGAAGCTGAAGATCACAATTGCTGTGAAGGAGAATGCCTTGACCAGGGTTACCTTTGATATAGCGAAGGACGCGGATAACAGCATCATAATGGATCTGTTTTGGATGTTGCATGAATTGAGACAGACAGTGAACAGCGTAGCTGAGCTCCGGCCGCGTTATAGTAAGATATATAAGTCGTCCTACTAATCTTCTATAGCGTGTAGGATCAGAATATTCAGGTCCATCTGCTTTTGCTAATTGGACATTTGGCTCCATTGGGAATTCCACAGGCTTACAGCCGAGTAGACCGCACTCTTTGAGAATGTCGAGTGCAAATTTGCGTTGGCAAAGAAATAGACCAGAGGAGTTGCGAGCCAGTTCAATGCCCACGAAGTATTTGAGTTTACCAAGGTCCTTGATCTTGAACCATGTGTGAAGATGATTCTTGACATTAGTACATAGAGAAGAACTATTGCCAGCTAATATGATGTCGTCCACATATATGAGAACCGCAACAAAATGATCAGCAGTAGAGTATGTGAACAATGTATAGTCAGCTTTGGATTGTTGGAAACCAAAGGAAAGGAGAGAGAGACGTAATTTAGCAAACCAGTTTCTGGGTGATTGTTTTAGGCCATATAAAGACTTTTGGAGCTTGCAAGCATAGCCAGGTGATCCATTAGAGAATCCAGGAGGAAAACACATATATACCTCTTCATCTAAATCGCCATGAAGGAATGCATTTTGAACATCGAGTTGGTGAAGTTCCCAGCCCTTTACAACAGCGACGGATAGGAAAGTGCGCACGCTAACCATCTTGGCAACTGGTGCAAATGTTTCCGTATAGTCATCACCGGCAATTTGATTGTTTCCAGCTATAACCAAACGAGCTTTGTAGCGCTCAATAGTGCCGTCAGATTTGTATTTAATTTTAAATACCCATTTGCAAGGAATGACCTTTTTGTCATATGGGATTTTTGTGATTTGCCATGTCTTGTTGGATTCCAAAGCCTGTATTTCAAGTCTCATTGCTTGTTGCCATTTTGGATTGTTCATAGCTTCTTTAAATGTGGAAGGTTCTTGAGCGTTAGTACTGCAAGAAAGATTTGGTGCTTGGGAGAAAACTTATGGTTAGAAACAAAATCGGCAATATTGTAGGGCTTACCTGAGGCGACTGAAGGAGAGGTGATATGCGAAGGTTGTGTAGTAGTAGACTTGCAATGATAATCTTTGAGGTAAATAGGAGGTTGACGTTGTCTTGTTGCTCGTTGAGTGATTGGAGATGCAGGATCCGAGGGAGCCGTTGCTTCGATGGACGGAGAGACACCAATAGAAGGTTGAGTACCTTGTGATATATCTGCAGACACTGGTGGAGGAGTGTTGTATAGAACCGGTGTGGAAGATTCGGCTGTGGGGAGCACAAGTGGTGCATCATCATGGTTCTTAATAGAAGAGGGTAGTGTCCGCTGTAGTACAGGTGGTGAAGTAGAGGATTGCAGTGCAAAGGGAAACGTGTTCTCATAGAAAATAACATCACGAGAAACAAAGGTGACATTGGTTTCTAAATCCAAGAGCTTCCATCCTTTCTTGTGAACTGGGTATCCAAGGAGTACACAACGGCGAGAACGCGAAGCAAACTTGTCCGTCGGTTGTGACACAGTTGTAGAGTAGCACAAGCACCCAATAACACGTAAATGATCATATGTTGGAGCGGTTCCATGCAAAACTTCGAATGGGCTGAGACCACCAAGAAGCTTAGTTGGGGTTCTATTAATGAGATGAACAGCATTCAAGATACAATCACTCCAATAGTCAATAGGTAAATGGCCATCAAATCGTATTGCACGAGCAACATTAAGAATATGACGAAGTTTCCTCTCAACACGACCATTCTGTTGGGGTGTGTATGTACACGATTGTTTATGGAATATTCCTCGATCGTTCAACTAAGTTTGCATTTGAGAAGATAAGAATTCTGAGCCATTGTCGGTTTGAAGACATTTCACCGATGATTTGTACTGAGTAGAGACCATGTTAAAAAAATTGCAAATGTGGAAGTACGTTTCTCCTTTATCATGCATGAGAAATATCCAGACATTACGACTATAATCATCCAACACAGTTAAAAAATATCGGGCACCACTAGAAGAAATAGTACGGTATGGCCCCCAAAGATCACAATGGATTAAATCAAATGCATTCAAACAACGTTTTTTATTAATTGGAAAAGCACTGCGAGATTGTTTGGCCCTAGAACAGACATCACAATGGCCAGTATTATTGAAATTTGAAATAAACGGAAGCAACGATAAATAGTGTCTAGAGGGATGGCCAAGTCTTCGATGCCACAACTGAGAAGAATTTGTAGCTTGCACTGCATGTGTTGATGTTTGAGAAACAGTAGAAGATCTCAGCACATACACCCCTTCGTGTTCATCACCCTTCCCAATCGTCGTCCTCAAGTGACGGTCTTGTAGGATACAATGGCTATTAGCGAAAAGGACATAGCAAGTATTTGATTTTATTAATTGGGAGACTGAAATAAGATTGCATGTAAGAGATGGAACATAAAGCACATTGGTTAAAACCAACGAAGGTGTTAAAAGAATATTTCCACTTTTAACAGCATATGTACGCATGCCGTTTGGAAGACCAACAGGACAAGGAGGTATAGGATGAATATCGGTCATATAGGCAAGGTTACCAGTCATGTGTTGAGAAGCACCACTGTCAATAAGCCAAGAAGAAGGTGTAGAAGCATTACCAGATAGCTTTTCAGATGAATGAGTGTAGAAAGGAGACCGATGGTCAATTGTTTTGAACGTTCTATCAGCCATGGTTCTTGGCTGAAAAAAAAAAATATTGAAGAAAGAAGAAAAAATAAGGAAGCTAGATCGATAGGCTCATGATACCATAACAAAAACTGTTTGAATTGAAGTGCTCACCTTTCATTTACAGATTGCAGCCTTAAATAAAGGCTTGATTACAAAAATCAGAATCTCCTAATAAAGGCGCCTTAAATAAAAGGCTTGATTACAGATGATCAAAATTAAATAAAAGGCTTGATTACAGATGATCAGAATCTCCTAATAAAGAGCAATTACAAACTGATCAGAATCTCCTAATAATCCTAACATATTAACAGAATCCTTAAATAAAGGCTTGATTACAGATGATCAGAATCTCCTAATAAAGGCTTGGTTACATATTGTTACAGCTTTCTTGATAAGAAGTCTTTAATCTCTTCCCTTATCTTTAGACCACCATCATCTATGAAGGTCAAGAACCCCCTTTGACTCAAAGCACTATAAAGATTGCTAGTAAAAGTATCTACTCCAGGAAAACTAAGAAAGACATCATGGTTGTATGTGCGAGGAAAAAAGAGGAGATGGAGCTTGCAATGCTAGAAAAATATGTAAAGAATCAATTCAATTTAAAAACTTAAATTTATAAGTGCTATCTATATTAATGGTTTTATGTTAGATACACCCTCTCACATAAGAGTTTTTTTGACATGTAAAGAATCAATTCAACTCAAAGACTTAAGCTTATAAACAATATTCACATTAATAATTTTATATTAGATTTCTCTAAAATAGCCAAACTTGCTAGACGTTGCTGATACAGACACCAGGACACCAGAAGAGAATGTGAGTACAATAGAGGGAAGACTCTCCAGTTGCTGTGACATAAAAGAGAAGGGTGCATTCCTAAAAGATTGACCAAAACATACTATTCAAAAGTTGTGTTTTCTTAATAGCTACCAGAAACACCACGGAAGCTATCAAGTTCATTATTGTAATGGAAGTTAGGTAAGCAGCAGCACATACAAAATTTTGTACTTTTATTATTCTGATTTTCTGACTGAACAGAGGGAAGAGCTATTGACATATATAAAGTATTGAATTATTGATTATAGATCTTCGTGAAGATCGGGGATATTTAGCTGATCAGATAGGATCTAATGTTATAACATCTACTGATGTTTATATTCTTCGCAATAGTTTTTCAGAAAAATATTTCTACAATTAATGCAGATAAGTTATCTGTATTTATTTTTAAAATAACATCGTTTTGGAAGTAAAATATTAAAAAATTATAATTATAAAGACTATAATAACCCTGAAATAAATTAAAATTACAAAAACACCATGATTTCCGTCCCAAAACGACATTATATTAGACTACTTGCAGTAATTGCAGAAAAAAAGTGAACCCATAGTTTTTTTATTTTTATTTTTTGGGATAAGGATGAAGCAAGCACTTCATGCATATATTAGAAAGGTTCTTGTTTATAAATCATGGTACATTGCTAACAGGGGAAAGAACTGAGGAAACAAATAGGTGCTGCGGCTTATATTAAGTACAGTTCGAAGACTTAATAGCCTGAGGGTTTAAATTTAATATTGAAATCCAGAGAAGTTATGTCTTTTACTGTATATGTTAGTTTATGTGTACAGAATCTTATGACACATGTAATTTGACAACGATAGAAGGAAAGCAGTTTTTGTTAATATGATTGAACCAGAAAAATACACTACTGAATTCATTAACAATGGAGGCCGAGCCTTTTTTTTTTTTTTTTTTTTTTGTATAAAAGGCAGAGCCTCTTTTTACATACACTAATGCAATATAAAATGCAGAAAGTAAACACCAAAAGACCTCACTCACTCTCAAGCCAATATACCTAGGCCAAAGAGAGATCCTTTCTCAAAACTCAACTTCAAATATTCTGAATATATGCCTACTCACACTGTGTACCCTTTTATCCTACTTGCAGGATATTCTAGAATAACTAACTAACTTATTGGCCCATTCACTTTTAGGCCCATCATAATGCAATTAAGGTTGTTCTCCAAACTCCAAGGAGGAAAGAAATGGCAAAGAAGAAAATTCAGAGAAGGTTTGGTTGCTCATTTGTGTAAGTGCCTTGCTCCTATAGTGTGGATCATACATAGAAATATTGGTCTTAGCATTTGATGGATGAGATTTTCATATTTACTTATAGTTCATTCAGGATTTGATAACAGAGAATAGTGTATAATTTTATGGAGACTTTCCTTGTGAGGAAATCAAATTGCAAGGCATGGTGATGTTGCTACTTATACTGTGGCATATTGATGATTGGATAAATTTAAGTAGAGAATCGTTATTTTGTCTTTGAAATGCTTCATGCCTTCATATTGGAGTATGCTTGTGTTGATGTATATCGTGGCTTATTCTGAGTAGCTTGTTCTGTGTATGTTATATAGCTTGAATGCTTTGTGTAACTGATGTTGCCAGCTGTACTATTAGTTTAGTCTGTTAGTGCAGTTACAGTTAGTTGTAATTGCCCTCATAAGAAGATTGTAGAAGTCCTTGCCTATATATTTCAGTATGATATTCAGAACTGAGATATTGCTAATAACATCTATTCAGAAGTACTATATTCTCTCATATTCTATCCATTTTCCTTTCCTTTCCCTTACTTTTCTTTCAATTTTACTCTATAATAGTTTTTTGCTCGTTGAATAGCCCAATGGGCTCCACATTGGACATGTGGTCCAGCTAGGTAAGCAATTCCTATGAAAGGGAGGTTTCACCTCACGGGTAACCCTAGCCTCTTTACTGTCACTGTGCATACACACCACCTTCTTTTTGGAAAAATTTTACAATATTACAGATGTACCCACTTTTCTATACATCCCTCCAATCAAAATCAAACACCAAACACCAATGCTGACATGTAATAGAGAAAAGTAAGATCTTAAATACATGTGTTAGATTTTGAATGGAAGTAGTATGCACTACTGATACTAAAGATGAGCTCGGCATCCCAAGATCTTGGATATGTCTTCCAGGTTTACCATTTTGCAGGGAAAAAACAAGGGTAGTCCAAGTGACTGGTTCTCCCGCTAACCAAAACTATGAAGAACCAATCTTTCATTCCATGACATTTGCATTAGAATGAATAATGATACAATTTATGTTGTTTATGAGTTGGCAGTTTCTTCTGAAATTCATGGATTGACTGTTTTAATATTGAATCCAAGTGTCAAAATATACCATAAGGAGAATGACCAGTATAATTCTTGTTTAAAGTGAAATCTGGAGAATGTTTCAAGCAGTCTTGTGACAAGTATATTTCATACACCATATGTAAATTCTAGTCTATCTTGAGCAATTACTGATTTCAAGTATATTCATACCCCTCTTGGATTTCATTTCTGCAGGACCAGTTTTTAATGTCATTGGTCCTATTTGATGATTTTGAAAGACAAGTGTGAGCTTTTGTCAATCACTCACGAGGAGCACTTGGGGCTTGTAGGCTTCATTGTAGTAGGACCTGGGGTACCTTTGGGGAATAATGTCTCATGTGCCAATAAGTACGTTAGGACCCACAGAACCTTATCTGATTGACGCAATGGTCTTAATATGATGTTTGGGGGTCATAAATAACAATGTGGGGAACATCATTTTGAAAGGCATGATGGTATGGTATTGGTTTAGAAAAATAGGGTTTTGAGGCAAACATCAAAAACAGAAAAATCTGTAAAATAGCTGAAAGAACAAAAAGTAATTTGTTTGAAGCAACTTGGCATAATATTAGACTTAAGAACGGGGGTCATAATGTGTATAGAGTGTTATATACTTATATTATCAAATTAGTTATGCTGAATTGTGACTTGTATTTGATTATTTCCTAAAGTGTGTTGTATCAACTTTAGTAAAAAGTGGATATATATATCCAAAATTATTAGCTGGTTTTAGCTATCCATCAATAAGATATTCTTTTTTGTAAATAAGCGACCTAAGAGCACAGGAAGTTTAAGCTTTGATAAACAAAAGTTAGTCAAATCCAAAATCATCATATTGAATTACTTCAAGACAAAATTTCAACACCACAAAAATTATTTAAATATCATTGACACAATAGTAATGGCAAAAAATATTCTATCAACTGCATGACAAAATTGACAACAGCATACCCCTTTGACCATAATTTTTTTTTTTTTTGGGTACATCCACCTTTAATTTAATCTGTTATATTTTGTTACAGAAGCGTTTAATTAATTTATAACACAATCGGTTAAATTTACTTAGGTATACGGCTGGAATTCAAGTATGAGCAGCGAATATCTAATACATAATCATAATGAAAATAATGCCTACCAAAAATAAGAAATGCAGTAAACTTTTTTTACCTTTTCTTATTTGATAAATAAATTTATGAAAATTCATTTTCATAAAAAAAAATGTTTTCATATTAAAATTTGGCATAAGATATTTTATTTACTTTTTTTTTAATATCTACCTTATGTATTCATCTCAATATCTTTAGATCAGAATTTTAATTAAGTTTCACTTTTATTTTCTTTCCATAACTTTTCTTTTTTTTTCTTTCCTCTTAAAATTTTGATCCAATAATATTAGAAATAAGTAAGTAGAATAAGCGTAAAAAAAGATATCCTTAAAATTCTATATGATCTTATTTTGTAAAAAATTTGTTAAAGGAAAAGATATTTGTTATTTTTCATAGAAAAAATCATGTTAAAATTGTAACAAGAAACAATTCGTTTACATTTCTATTGTATATCATTTTTTCATGGTTGTACAATAAGTTTGAAATTTCAAACGTAAGAGAAACATTTTTCTTAAAAAGACAGAGACAGAAAATTTGTCGAAAAAAATAAAAATAAAATAAAATATTAGAATCCAAAGACCAGATACATCAAAGTGATCAAACATTTTAACATTCGTCCACGCCTTTCTTGTTCCAAAAATCAGTGTCTTTTTTTAATTTTTCTTTTTCTTTTTTGTAATCGGACATGGATCCTCCACCAAAGAGCTGGAGTATCCATACCCGATCCGAGATATCGGCGAAATACGAGGTTCTGGAGCGGGTCGGGTCGGGTGCATACGCCGACGTGTACCGTGGGCGGCGTTTATCGGACGGCTCGGCGGTGGCGCTGAAGGAGGTCCACGACTACCAATCGGCGTTCAGGGAAATCGAGGCGTTGCGGGTCCTTCAGGGGTCACAAAACGTCGTCGTAATGCACGAGTTCTTCTGGCGTGAGGATGAGAATGCAGTGATCGTGCTCGAGTTTCTGAGAACCGACCTCGCCACCGTGATCAAGGAAGCTTCTGCTGCTGCTAATGGTGGTGGCCTTGGTATTGGGGAGGTTAAGAGGTGGATGATGCAGGTTCTTAGTGGGGTTGATGCGTGCCATAGGAACATGATTGTGCATAGGGACTTGAAGCCTTCGAATTTGTTGATTTCCGATGATGGGGTGCTCAAATTGGCAGATTTTGGACAGGTTTTGCCCATAAAGTTTTCATCTTTATTTTATTTTATTCGTAGTTATTATTATTTTATTTTTTTTGGTTCACTTTTTGTGAATGTATTGGGTTATTTGATGTTAAGTGCCTCAATTCTTAGTTTTATGTTTTTTTTTTTTTCTCAATTTGCTTATGAGTTGTGATTTGGGTCAATTGTGGATAATTGCAATTTTGTGGCATTAGCTTCCACTGAAAGTTGCAATTTTATAGTAGGAAAAAGTAGTATGCCAGTAGTTAAGGGTAGCTTTTGTTATTTTATTTGAGTTACGATTGGTGTGTGTCTGTGTTTTTTTATTTTATCTATGATTTGATGATTGATGTATTCTGGGATTTTTATTTTATTTTTAATTTTTAATTTTCATGACTATGAAAGTTTAATTTGACTACTTTTTCAGGCAAGGATACTTATGGAGCCTGGATTTGATGCTAGGGAGGAGAACACACTACCATACGAGCATGATGTTTCAAATCGTGAAACTTCACTCCAACATCTTCAAGAGCATGGAACCGTGAGTCACGAAGAATATTTTAGAGTTTTAGATGAGATGAAAACTAACATCTCCACATATGACACTGATAAGGATACATACGTTCAAGATGGTAATACCTCATGTCTTGCAACATGCACAACAAGTGACATAGATGATGATATCTGGAAAGCTTCATTCACATATGAAGCAGATGAAGAGGGAGGGAATGAACTTGGTTGTCTCACATCATGTGTTGGAACTCGTTGGTTCAGGGCTCCTGAACTACTTTATGGATCCACAGACTATGGTTTAGAGGTTGATCTTTGGTCATTGGGATGTGTCTTTGCTGAGCTCTTAACTCTGAATCCCTTGTTTCCTGGAACATCTGATATAGATCAACTTAGCAGGATTATAAGTGTTTTGGGCAACCTCAATGAGGAAGCATGGCCTGGTTGTTCAAAACTTGCTGATTATGCAAGAATCTCATTTGGGAAGGTGGAAAACCCTACTGGTCTTGAAGCCTGCATGCCCAATTGCTCTTCTGATGAAGTTTCTCTTGTCAAAAGATTGGTTTGTTATGATCCAGCTAGGAGAGCCACAGCAATGGAGTTACTGCATGACAAGTACTTCAGTGAAGAACCTCTTCCTGTTCCTATTTCTGAGCTGAGAGTTCCTTTGACCAGATATGGACAAGACCAGGATTCCCTTGATGGGTTTCATGGTTACAATGAAAGGGGTTCTGATTCTGATTTTGAGGACTTTGGTACTATGAATACCACCAAAACTGGTGCTGGTGCTGGTTTCTCTATACAGTGAACCAAGGATATTATGCACCATGAATTCTGTTTTATTAAAAAAAATTGAATTCAAGGGGCATTGTATTCTTGGAAAATTTGCCATTTATGTTGTTCGATTGGTATTTTATTTGCTGAACTTCACCTGGGAAATCCGTGGTTCGAATTTTTTTAAGAAAATCTCTTTTACTTTTTATTTTTTTATAGATTGAATTGTGAACAAAGGACAAATTATTGAGAAGTAAGCATTGTATAATATATGTCAAGTTACCATGTTATCATTGGTGCAGAACTCTTCTTGAAAATGGAATAATTTGATCATATGAGCGTGTTTAATACTTGAAATAATCAAACTTTTTATTCAAGAAGCCTCCCCAAGCTCCTTTTGTATTGCATTTCTACTTTCTTCTTTTTTATTGATTTTGTTTTAAAAGGGTAAGGCACCCACGCATGTTAACAATACCTAATTTTTTTTAGGGGTTTGCATTTGTCATTTAACATGACATAACAAACTTTCCTACACACACAACATTTTGTGGGGTCCACACTTTTTGAAGAAAAAAAGAAAAAAGAAAATTACAGTACGCAAAACGAATCTCTATAACATTACACAATCACTTTTCCTACAACATAACTCTTATAAAACTTTTTTTTAATAACCAAAATGACATGAACATTCTTAAAGAGCTAGTTTCATGAGTCAAAAGCAAATTCCCCATCATTCAACTTGAGTTCATGCAATTTGAAGGTAATAATTTTTGTTTTTTTAAGCTAGGGATTTGATTTCATAAATTATTTAAAGTAATTTAAATTGACTTTACTATTATTATTTTTTAATTGAATGTAATTATTTCAATAATGAAATGAAATAGCACTTGACTAACCTAACAATATCCACGGGCTAGATAAGAAGTTAAAAGAAAAGATAGAAAGCCCAATTCACTTGGATTTGACAATGTGGAATTTCTTGTTCAATCTAATCTCGCTTCAGTTAAAAAATTCAAATCTCCACACACACACACACAATTCTACCTTACTTATTGTATATTTAAAATAACTTTAAGTACAAGTAAATATTTTGTGTATTACACCAAGGGTTCGTTTTTTTCTGCCCGTCAATATAGATAAGTTATTTACATTGTGCTCAAAATGACTTTGTTTTGGACAAAAATCATGATATTTTTATAATTATAATTTTTTTCAAGGTTATAATAGTCTTTCTCATTATAAATTTTTAATCTTTTAACCTAAAATGACGTTATTTTGGGAATGAATATAGATAACTTATCTACATTCATTATAAAAACATTAAAGCCTTACACCAATGTTTTATAATTTAAGTAAAACATAAAAGAAAAAAAATTCAAATTCTAGATATGTATAATGAATTTAAATAAATTTTGAAAATTATATATTAAAACATATTTAAAATCATAAAAAATATACATAGTTAATTAAAAAATTAAGGGTTAAATGTTTATCATTTTAAATGGCACAATTTTATGTTATTTTTAATGAAACTACGTCGTTTAGGTATATTCTTGGTTTTTTTTATATTTTTTTATAAAATTAAGAAAAAAAAAGTGGAGGAGAAAAAATGTAAAAACACACCCAAATGACGTAGTTTTATTAAAATTGACTCAAAATTATGTCATTTAAAATAACAAACACTTTTTTCAATAAATTTAAATTTATTAAAATATTAATTAATAAAACTCAGTGCTTCCAAAACCTATGAATACAAATCTAAAAACATAGAGACCCTGAAGCTACCCCAAAACCTAGTAACCCCACCTTCTTCCTATACTTGTATTTTTCCCGTTCAATATCTCAGAAGATTTATGGACCTTTTAACAACATACATATCGACAAGAGTAGATCCCCTCATATTTAGAAAAAGGTTTGTTTTTTTAAAGTTATTTTAGATATCTTTATCTACTATTCATCGAAACGACGTTGTTTTGGACGGAAATCATGATATTTTTGTAATTTTAAGAGTAAATACTATTTTTGGTCCTCAGCAAATTTCACGATGCCCGCTTTAGTCCCTAATAAATAAAAAGACTCATCATAATCCCTAAGAAATTCAAAATGGACCCATTTAGTTAAAATCGTGGTCCCTCACAAATTCAAAAAAGACTCATATTAGTCCCTCAAAAGGACTAAAATGAATCCATTTTGAATTTCTTAAGGACCACGATGGGCCTTTTTATTTGGTAGGGACTAAAGCGGGTATCGTGAAATTTGCTAAGGACCAAAAATGGTATTTACTATAATTTTAATTTATTTCAGGATTATAATAGTCTTTATCATTCTAATTTTTTAATTTTTCAACCCAAAATGACATCGTTTCGATGAACATTAGATGAAGTTATCTAAAGTAACATTAGATACTTTTTTTCCTTAAAAAAATATGACATTATAAGAAATAATAACTATACAAAGATAGATTAAAGTTGATAAAATAAGAGAGAGAGAAAAAAAAAATTAAAATGGATAGTTATAAAATCATAACTATTGATTTACTTTTGTATGATTATAATTTGGGAAATACATCCATCATGTTGTAGGAACCAAATATTCCATCATGTGAAGAAAAAGACAACCAATTTATTGAATAAAGTGTCCTATTACTTTTTTTAATATTATATATACTTTGTCTTTTTCTTAAAATGATAACACAATTGATTCTTACAACATGAGGAATATAATTTCCTTATAATTTTTACACATGATCATCATATCATGTTTTTTTTTTTTAATATGAGAAAATTTATTTCCCAATACAACATAGACCGGTCATGTAATTAAAGCCAGGGGAGGAGGGGGACAATCTAATTAAATCAAAGAATTAATATCCAATCAATGATGGCTATTGAACCATAGGTAATAAATCAGGATTGAGTAGCTTACCAAAAATAAAATCAGGATTGAGTAAGGGAAAAAAATACAATATAGTTCAATTCAGTAATTAATGTTGATTAAAAAAACCAATCTCGATTTTAAATTATGAATTAATGTCTTAATAACAATGATTATTACTATCATGTCTCCATTAACAAGATTAGGATCATCCATAAATAAATCGAGGGAGACTAAAACATGACAAAAGTTGAGAAACGAATATTATTAATTTATCTATGAAGATATCATTCCGCATGACTGATATTAAATAAGATATAAGAATAAGCGGATACACTCTCGTTCTTCCCTCCACGAGCGCTAGGTTTCTTCTCTCTCGTACCATATACCTTGGTAGCCCATTGGAGTCCAATAAAAGTTTTACTATCGGCTAGGTGTGAGTTGGGTCTTAAATTATTGGATTAAAACTTTAGGATAGAATAAAATTATGGGTTTAATATTTATTTTTTACATATACATAAAAGTGTATGGGATATATGTGGCACACAATGCGAATAAAAGACAAAAAGAAAAAATAGGGACTTCAAATACTTTTATGTATGTGTAGAAGATAAATTCATTTATCTTCTATAACATCAGAAATAATAAACCTTAGAATTATAGTACATTTCCTTATTTATTATTATTTTTTAAATTATTTGAAATTTAATTGTTTAAATTAGATTTTTTAAGCGTTTAAATTAGTTTTTTATTTTTATTTTTTGCTTGACAAATAATTTTAATTTTTAATTATGTAATAAATTGATTATAAATTATAAATTATTATTTGTTTAAATATAAATTCCAAAAAGAACTAAATATTAAAAATGAAAAAGAACCATAAAAAATATTAAAGTATATTAAATTATTGGGGACAAAAGAAATTCTTAAAATATTTACCTACACGAAAAAAACTAATATTATCAGCTTTTAAATGTAATAAAAAATAAATTTGAGGTTATGATTCATATCAATATTTTTAGCAGTTACTTAAATATTTGATTAGTAATTTTTTATATATATATTTCATATATCATCAAATTTGTGATGTCATCGGTAAGATTTGGAGTGAGTCGGGGCTTGTTGCTGAGATTAATTCAACTCTTCTGGTCTTGATCCCAAAAACAAATTCTCCTGAGTTTATCTCTCAGTTTCGACCGATCTCTTTATGCACTGTAGTTTACAAGATTTTGTCCAAGATCATTGTTGATAGGCTCAAACCAGCTATGGAGCTCATTATATCTCCTTCCAGGTGAGTTTTGTTCCGAATAGACAAATTCAGGATAATATTATTATTGTCCAGGAATTAATTCACTCTATGCATAAGATGAAAGGGAGAAAAACTTTTATGGCTATCAACATTGATTTGATCAAGGCTTATGATAGAGTTAGTTGGGATTTTTTGCATAGAACTTTAGAGGAAATTTCGCTTCCTGTGCATGTTGTCAACCTCATTATGAGCTGTGTTAAATCTTCCAAAATTAATGTTTTATGGAATGGTGGTAAAATTGAAGATTTCACTCCTTCTAGGGGTATTCGTCAAGGAGATCCCTTATCTCCATATCTTTATGTAATGGCCATGGAGAAGTTGACCCATATTATAAATACTGCTGTTAGTGGTGGTATCTGGAAACGTATGAGGGTTGGTAATGGTGGTCCTTAAATCTCACATCTAGCATTTGCAGATGATTTGATGATTTTCATGGAGGCTAAGGAGAAGCAGCTCGATGTCCTTTTAAAATGTCTGTCTTTATTTGAAGAAATTTCAGGTGAAAAATTGAGTGTTGAAAAAACTAGTGTTTTCTTTTCAAGAAATACGCCAGAGGATATGCGTCAAAGGATTTCTGAGAAAAGTGGCTTTAAATATGTGAAGAATGTGGGTAGATATCTGGGGTCTATGATGCAGCATGGTAGGGTCTCAAAAAATTCTTACTCAGGAATTGTTGACAAGATTATAGCGAAACTTAATGCGTGGAATCAACAAAGTTTGTCGCAAGCTGGTAGGATCACCTTGGTTCAATCTGTCATGTCTGATGTTCCTTACTTTCAGATGCAAAGTTGCAAGATTCCTTCTTCAATTTGTTTAGAGATTGAGAAAGTTCAAAGAGATTTCATCTGGGGTGATAGGGAGGATCATAGGAAGCATCATTTGATTAGCTGGAATACTATTACTCTTCCTAAAATGTATGGTGGTCTTGGATTTAAGAAGTTGGAGATTATGAATAATTCTTTTCTTGCCAAACTAGTTTGGAATTATGTGAATAAACCTAACCATCTTTGGTCTCAGGTTCTCCACGCTAAGTATGGTGCTTGTAAAAACCGTGGTGGCCCTTTTGTAGCACAGGGTGGTGATTCCAATCTTTGGCGGAATATTTGCCGAATTTGGTATATTATAGAGGATTGGCTTGTTTGGGAAGTTGGGGATGGTAAGAGTATTAGTTTCTGGTATGATAGATGGTTTCCTCAAGCTTCTAGTCTCCAGGAGTGTGCCACGAGGAGTATTTCCTCAAGGGAAGCAGACGTGAAGGTGGCGGGTATGGTTAAGCATAATGGTGAGTGGGATTTGGCATCTATGTCCGAGTTTCTTCCAGCTGAAATTGTCGACAGTTTCCGTAGTGTGCTTCCTCCTTCTGACGTTGATGGCCCGGACAAGAAAGTTTGGAACCTGCATGGCTCGAATTTCTTTTCAGTGAAGGCAGTTTATGATATGTTAACAAGCCATGATAGAAGTGAAGATGTTGATAATTCTAAGTGGTCTTTACTATAGAAGTGGAAGGGTCCTCAAAAGATTAAAATTCTTATGTGGAAAATTTTGCATGGAAGACTTCTTACAAAGTGCAGAATTGCAGCCTGGGGTAATGGTGATGATGTGTGCTCTGTGTGTAATGTGGAGAGGGAATCAGTCCTTCATGCTCTTAGGGACTGTCAAGAAGTGAAACCTTTGTGGTCTTATTTTGTGCCTAGCTCGTAGTATGATGAGTTCTTTTCTGGTAGTTTGGAGCAGTGGCTTTTATTGAACATTTCAAATCAGAATTATAGCAGATTTCGTGAGGATTGGATCACTTTATTTTTCATTTTGTGTTGAAAATTTGGACCTGGAGAAATGATGTTACTCATGGGGCCAATGTTCTTTCAATCAGTATGAAAGTTCTTCTGGTGCAGAATCTGTTTAAAGATGTTTTAGATTCATTCACTCACACGAAAAATAATCTTGCTGAGAGGAGCACTATGGTTATTAATATTGCTCGGCAATTCCCTATTTCAGATTTTATTAAGGTGAATACAGATGGTGCTGCGCGAGGGAATCCTGGTATTGCTGCTTGTGGGGGAGTTATTCATAATTCTCAAGGTCTTTGGTTGGGTGGCTTTGCTTTCAAATTGGGTACTTGTTCTTCTTTTAAGGCTGAGCTGTGGGGTGTTTTGTGGGGTTTAGAGATGGCGTGGAATGCTGGGTTCCGCAAAGTTGTGATTGAGAGTAATTCATCTAGTGTGGTCACTGTGCTCACCAGAAGTGGTGCAGCAGTCCGTGAAAATCAGTTGATTTCTCGTATACGGACTTGGTTGTATAGAAGCTGGTCTGTTTTTGTTCAGCACACTTTAAGGGAAGCAAATACTTGTGCAGATTGGTTAGCAAACTTTATTATTGATCATGGTAATCAGGATGACCGATTAGTGTGGGGGGAGCCTCCTCCTGGACTAATCCCGCTTCTTAATGCTGATATGGCGAGTGTGGGAAGACCTCGTGTCTTAGGTTGTAATTCGTAGTTTTTTCCGATTTTGTTTTTGTTGTTCTGGGGGCTTAGTCCTCTTTTTGCTTACCAAAAATAAAATAAAATTAATCTTCGTATATAAAAGCGTTCAATGTAATATACGAATAGGAAAATAAAATTTAACATAATTTTATAAAACTGATTCATATATAAAAAAATCCATAATATATATTAGTTAATAAATGAATTCTCAAGCTAAATTTTCATATGATTTTAAACCTTTTTTTTATATATTAATTTTTTATATATTTTCTCAAATTTTAATAATTCTTTTTTATTTAACCTCTATAAAAAAAATTAAACACAAAATTTTCATGTGATGAACTCATATGAGAAGATATATATATTATTTAAATAAATTACACACGAAGAAAAATAATATGATTATTTAAACAAGATATTAATTAAATTTTTTAAGAGATTAATTAAAAAATAAATAAATAATGAAGAATATATATAAATAGATGGAATCCAAATACTAAGGAAGGGTTTTGTTTGGGTATTGAGTTGTGGTTTTAGAGAAGAAGAAGAAGAAGAAGAATAAGGAGAAGAAGGAGAAGAAGAGGGTCAAAGATGGTGCTATCTGATGAAGAAATCGGAAGACTCTACAGAATAAGGAAAACGGTTATGCAGATGCTGAGGGACAGGTGTTACCTCGTAACTGACTTCGAGATCAACATGTCCAAACATGAGTTCAAATCCAAGTACGGTGAAAACATGAAGAGGGAAGACCTCGTTATCAACAAAACCAAGAAAGACAATTCCAGCGACCAGATCTACGTCTTCTACCCTGAGGAAGTTAAGGTTGGTGTCAAGACCATGAAGACTTACACCAACCGCATGAACTCCGAAAACGTTTTCAGGGCTATCCTCGTCCTTCAGTCCAATCTCACTCCCTTTGCCAAGACTTGTGTCAGTGAAATTTCTTCCAAATTTCACTTGGAAGTTTTTCAGGTCCTTCTTTTTTATTTACCATTTTATTTATATATTAAAAAAAAATATTAACTTAATTTATGTTTTGTGTGTATTTATTTGTTTGTTTATGGTTTTTAAGAATAAGGGTTCAATGTGTTGCAGGAGGCAGAACTTCTGGTCAACATAAAAGAACATGTTCTTGTACCGGAACATCAAATTCTGACTGAAGCAGAAAAGAAAACTTTGCTTGAGAGATATACCGTGAAAGAAACTCAGGTAAATATGTTAAATTTTGAAAATTTTATTGGTTTGAAGCTTGTGAGTTTGATGCTGCCCTAGATATTTAATAGTAATGTAGAAAGGGTATCTGGTGGTTAGATTTATATGCCTTGAGATTAAGAGATCATTCTGCTTTTTGGACTAGTATGTGCTGAAGAAGAGATTTATAGAGGATTAGTTTTACAATGGTGAGTTTTCATCTTTTCATGACTCGCATGACTATGTGAAGTGTGGTTCCATTTAGTAATGTACACATACTTCAGGTGGAGGCTTGGTATTTTCTTTTTTTCTTTTTTTGTTAGCGGAGGTCGAAGAGGGCGAGTTTCGGATTAGTGGTAAGGTTGCTTCTTTGTGATTAGAAGGTCATGGGTACTTGGCCTCCTTGTACTGTGGAATGAAGAGATTATTCTCTCTATTGTCCAAATTGTCCAAGTTGAAGGAATGTATCATGGCAATGATAGTAGCTGTTTTACTGAATTCTATATGTAGGAGCTTGCTTCAATGAAGTCCAATCTAGTTTCTGATCCTGATTTTGATTTGGTGTTAAATAAATATTTAGGAAAATTTAAATTAGCTCCGATTTTTTCATGCACTTGTGCTTTCAGCTTTTGAATTTATATAGAATGCCAAGTTCTTCTGGTGAAGATGTAACTGTTAAACTCATTTGTTCTTCATGTAATAGATGATTTGAGTGGAGGTCATTTTTTTGTGTACTGTTTCAAGGGTCTGGGTATTGGTTTTGTATGCATAATGTCTCATATTGCAGTTCTAGTATTCAACAAAAATTTCTGCAGATACTGACATGGTACTTTATCCCTTTTCTTTATGGGCTGCTTCTCAGCTACCTAGAATCCAGGTGACAGATCCTGTTTCAAGATATTATGGACTGAAGCGTGGACAAGTTGTCAAGATAATTCGGCCAAGTGAGACTGCAGGCAGATATGTTACATACCGATTTGTTGTATAAGAATTTCCATGAGTTTAATGGTTATACTTTTGTAATATGTTACCTACTGATATTTATAAGAAGCACGGACAAGGATATATACAGCCCTTCTTTTCTAATGGGTGAAATATTGGTTTACTACCCTTCAAATGTGTCATTGTTGAAACTTTGGAATCAAAATTATCTGATCATGTTATAATAGACATATGTTGTTGTGGTTGGTAATTTATCAGTTTATTATGTGGAACTTTGTCTTTGTACATTATTGACCAATTAAATTATTTTGGGAAGTTGGTAACTCAATAACTCTTATCTTTGTGGCGGTTCTGTTTTTCTTTTCTTCTTTTTTTTCTTTTTCTTCTTTGGTAATTAATAGTTGATGGCTTGTTCCTATTTCCTTATGAAGCACTCCTGTGAACTGAGATTGAATTCCTTCCTGAACTATCCTGAATGCATATATATAAATGGGGATTGGTTTCTTATGTTTGTAACATCCCCCGTTTGCTTGTGTTTTTTTTGTTTTTTTTTTGTCTTCAGTGTTGGCTTCAGTTTCACTGAACTCCTTAGTGCAGCAGCATCTTGAACTATCCCCTTTTAAACTTTGTCATGACTGCATGCATTTTTTGTATGTCCTGGATTTAGAGCAGGAGTGAAATAAAAAAGAAGCAGCTAATTTTGAAAGAAGTCTTTGGCCGTTTCAACTTTCAACAGTTTCATGGAACACGAAATCACCAATCCTACCTATCGAGAAGGGAATGATGATTCCTGAAACTTCGTTATTCCAATTTTTTTTTTTTTTTTTTCATTTACAAACAGTGATATACTCATTCTATGTACTCAGTAACAAACATACTATAACTAAAATACCAAAATCACAACTAAAGAAAGAAGAGGAGGAGATTGAAAACAATTGACCAATACGTTCACTCATTTAATTGATCAAACCAACTCGATAAAGCTAACAAAGCCTGGTCGCAGTACCCAATGCTGAATCTGGGACAAGAGAAGAGTTTGAACTTTCTTGAGCAAGTGAAAAAGACATGCAACTTATTTTGCTTTTGAATCATACATAAAACAAACAACATCAATATAAAATTTGAAATGATTTTGCATTATAACTAATTCGAATCTCATTTATTGTTGAATTAGTTCAATATTGTTCAACACTTAGCATTTGTTTGGGAGTGTGGTGGGCAGGGAAAAGAAGGGGATCCAAGGGGGAGGGAGGGGAAGGAAGGGAAGGGAAGGAAATTGAAGGTATTCCTTTTCCTTGTTTGGAAGTTAAAAAAGTGGTAAAGAAGAAAAATCGAGGGTTAATGATATATTTTTACAATTTTACCTTTTTTTAAAATTAATATAATTATTTTATTTTACAAATTAAATTAAATTTAAAATTTCTAACAAAATTATGTATGTACTTTTCACAACACCAAAAAAAATCATATTTTCGATGAAATTTCTACGTTGCAAACGAAGAAAATTTCATCACAAAATTATTTTTTTCGTCGGAATACTTTTCGTCGAAAAGTGACAGAATTTTTCAACTGATGAAAATTTCTACAAAAATAAATTTTCTATCGAAATTTAGTTTCCATCAAATGTTTTAAACGAAAAAAGAGTTCTGTCAAAAATTTTGACGGAACATTTTCCGTTCAAAATTTTAATGGTAATGTGTTCTGACGAAAATTTCGACAGAGATTGTTTTGTTAGAAATTTTGAGGGGAAATGTTTCATTTGAAACTTTCGACGAAATTTAGATTCTCTAAAGAATTTTGACTGAATATTTTTTCCGTCAAAATATTTTGTCAAAATATTTTTCGTTAAAAAATTTTACAGAAATATTTTCTGTCAAAATTTTTTGACATAAATGCGTTCCATTGAAAATTTTGATGGAAATGTGTTTTTATCCAAAAACTTGACAGAAATATTTTTCGTCGAAAATTTTCGATGGAAAAGTGTTTCGTTAAAAATTTCGACAGAATTTTTTTTTTTGCCAAAAAATTTAACGAAAATTATTTCGTCGAAAACTTTCAGCGAATTTAAATTTTGATAAGAATTTTGATGAAATTTTTTTTCGTCAACAATTTTCGATAGAAATGTGTTTCGTTGAAAATTTTGATGGAAATATTTTTCGTCAAAAATTTCGATGAATATGTTTTTGTGTGAAATATTTTGGCAAAATTTAGATTCCGTAAAGAATTTTGACAAAAAACATTTTCCGTCAAAATTTTTTACAGAAATATTTTTAGTCACAAATTTTGATGGAAATATTTTTCGTCAAAATTTTGATGGAAATAATTTCCGTAAAAAATTTTGACGTAATTGTTTTACGTCGAAACTCTTCGATGGAAATATGTTTCGTCAAAATTTTGGATGGAAATATTTTTGTTAAAAGTTTCGACGAAATTTAGATTCTATCAATAATTTTGATTGCAATTTTTTTTCGTACAAAATTTATGTTAGTGATTATGGCAAAATCTGGTTCCGTCTCTAATTTTGTCGTTAGTTTTGATGGAAATTTTTTGACGTATATGATTTTCATAAAAAATTTCATCACTATTTTTGACGAAATATTTTTCGTCCATAAATTTTGTCAGTATTTGAGACTTTTCTAATAATATCGCATTTAAAAATGATTCACAATTATGTATGTTTTAAGATTTTAATGCTAAGGGTAGATAAGTAATTTTTAATATTTTTTTTCTTTTAAACCCTCCAAATTGGAGAAACTTTAATTTTAAGAAGAAGGAGGATTTAGTAAAAATCCCCAAATTCTTCCCCTCCTTTTTTTAAACTCACAAACAAATGAAGGGCTTACTAAAACTCTCCCTTTTCCCTTTCCTTCCCCTCCTAAAATCAACTCTCAAACGCAGCCTTAAACTACAACATTCTCTTTGAACGAGCTAGACTTTAGAATATCAGAAATTCTTAACAATTTTATTTATGCTTTTATTTGGAAGTATGGTCAAGTACATAACATAGGAGCTATGCATTTGGAACACATTATTTGCCACTCTTTCAGAATCCCTTGCTTACACTTAAGAGAAAGACATTAAGTTAATAAGGAGATGAATCTGATAAGAACATCTACAGCGTTTTGGGCTGCTAAAGAGGCAAACACAGCTGCTTCATTGGACATTGCAGAACCCCCACCAGCTAAATCAGACAGTGCTCTAATGGCAATGAATGGTGTTTTCTGTTGGAGACAGACTAAAGCAACAGCAGCACTTTCCATGTCAATCGAAGTGGCATCAAATTTGGAGTATAAAAATTCTCTATAAGCTTTGTTGTCAACAAACACATTGGCACTAACCCCTCTCTTTACTCTCACCACAATAGGCCTCCTTGGCAAGCAGGTTGTGTTGACACAACCACCCAATTTAACATTCTGTAGGGAATACACAAAACAATGTTAATTATGTGTTTTTATTATTATTTTCCTTCAAAATAAATCAATGATTGTGAGATGGTGAAGTGGGGTTGAAATGAAACTACCTTAAGCTTTCTTGCTATTTTAAAGTAAGCCTTGTTAACTGGAACCCAGAAAGCATGCTGCCTAACTTCAGGAGTTCCATTCACTGGGAAAGTTTCCTCTGCTTGATACCAAACGTTGTTAAGAACATTTGTCACTGAGTTGGAATGTTTTGTGTAGTTATTGTAATTGGAAATATTAAGATAACCAAATTTTCTGCCGAAATCTCCATCGGCTTCAAAAGCTAGTTCGTTTTTAGGACCATCTCCAAACCTCTGCTCAATCAAATCAGAAAAGTCAAATATCTACTTGTACTACGTTTGACTGGCTTACATTGCTTTCTATCTATCTTTGTTTAATCTTCTAATTACAAATTATTGGTGGCACTTTGACCATTGAATGCTGACTTCTAACATACACCTTGGACCAATTTGGTTTTATATTAAAATCATCAATGCTTTGTTTATGAGGGAGATAGTGATTCATGCTTGTTTAGAAAGAAATTCCAAGATCAGCTACTAAAATACTACACTGGTTTTGAAACCTATTCACATGTAGAGTAGTTTAGCAGTTTGAAGCCATTAAAAAATATATAAATTTCTTCTCTTCTATTTGAATTTTCTTTTGATTGTTTTAAAAATCTAAGAGCTGATGAATTCAGAAATTTTATCTCGTCTTACTTTATGTAATCACCAATCAAAATAAACTGATCTATCATTGTACCTGCCAATTCCAAAGTCCTGTGTGGGCCCAATACTGGGGAATAGTCACATCTCCAATCTGGAGTTTAGGATTTGCATTTCCTGCAACTCCACAATGAAGAACTCCTTCTATATTGAACAAAGTGAGCAACAATTGGGTGGAAAGACCTGCATTTAGCTACACAAAAATAAACCAAAAGACTGAAAAAAGAAAGAAAGAAATATAAGTTTAAGGAAAATGCAAAACAGAAACTCAGCTTACCATACTCAATCCGGTCATAACAACTATAACTTTCTTCCTTTCAATTTCACCAATGCGAAAATGTTTTCCTGCATTTTGAAGTTTTTCCAAATGCAAAGAATGAGAAGACCCTTTTATACACAACATATGACCCATCCAAGAATGATTAGACTTCGTTGCTATTGTTGTTAAAAAGCAGCCAACTTTGCAATAACCAGCTTTCATCAACAAAGCTAATGAACTAGCCTAGGAAAAATATGAGGTAGAGAAAGCATTTGGATGAATAAGAGAAGAAAAAATGTGTAACTTCATTTGGACATAAACTTTCAACCAGCCACCTTAGCTGCAGTAGCTGTAGCTTCCAAGATCTACAACTCAACTCCATTTATTTTTCCAACCTTCATGTTGAATCGACTACTGTGAAAGATTCCAAAGTTGGTTTATAGTCAAAGTGTTCATTTTCATGCAGAAACTAAAGCTATGGTGATTATGGGGAAGTTGCAGGTATTCTAGATTCAGACAAACCAATTTAACGGTTCAAGAATTAAAACAGTTCATTTTAGACCATGATTATCCACACACACAAAAACAACATAAGAGGAAGAAAGCATACATTTGCATAAAAGTATAATAAAAGAATTGAACAACACATGGTTCTGAAAGTTACCGGCAAAATCAAAGTAAGGAAACTTGTTATGAGCAACAAAGCTAGGTGATTGAAGAAGAGGATTCATCTCAAAGGCATTTGGCACCACTATACCAATATATGGCCCTTGGCTATTGATATTGCTGATTTCTCTCCAAGAAAGTTGAGAAACTGCACCATTGGCCCTTATGCTACTTCCCAATACCAACACAAGAAAACATAGTAACTCCATCCTCTTCTAATGCTTATTGTATCTTTCAAGTTCTCAAAAGATCTAAGGTCCCTTTTATCACAACCATATAACAAGAATGGAACATAAATGGTCAACTATGTGAAAGATTCGGATACCAAATCATTTTAGAAAGGAAAAAAAGAAGGGTTTTATAAAAGTTACATTCTAGAAAAAGTCATTGTGTTATGTCAAACAGATTCGTTTTACGTGCCGTAATTTTTTATTTTTTATTTTGTTTTTCAAAACATGCGAGCCCCACAAAATATTATGTCTGTAGGAAACTTTTTGTGGTCATGTTAAAAGATGAATGCAAACCAAAAAAAAAAAAAAAGAGAAACTAATGATGACTATACATGTGTCCCGAATAAGTGAAAACTTATTCATATGTGTTTTTATTTCTACCAAACAGTCAACATTCAAGAACCGGAAAAAGCCTACTAAAATTAGAATTTAATTAATCAAGAGATAAGACCGAAATGAGTGCACTGTAAGACCGGTTTCTTAGGAAATTTTTATATTTATTTGCCACTATAAATACAATAAACGAGAGAAAACAATCTAATATTTTGTTTTTAATTATTTTTAAAGTTCATCAAAGAATATTATCAGGAACTTGATGAATAGAGGCCCTTGATTTAGCCAATAGTATTCTCCATACTTGACTATTTTACTGTAGGTCAACCTTCAAGATTCAAGAATGGAACATGTAAGATGGGTTCTTCTTCTAAAAGAGACAGAATAATGTATTTAAAGCATATCTGGCAATAAAAGCAACTTTAAGCTAAAGTTCAAAGAGTTTAAAAAATAAAACTAAAATTATTTCGTAATTATATAAAAGGGTTAAGTTAGTCTCATGCAGCATAAGATAGAGAGTTTTTCCTACCGACTCTTTGATATCTGTGCTTGCCTTTTTTCTTTTCTTTTTAAATCAATGGAGCCCATATATGTTGAGTCTATCACATAAGATATCATATATCCTACTGCAGGAGAATAATAATCCCCTATATAAAATTGATTTTATGGTTTTGAGAGATAGAAGATAAAATAATTTATTATTAGAATGAATTATTAGGATAAATGATAAAATTTATAAATAAAATTTAGGATATGTTATTCTACCTACTTTTTTTTGTCCACCTTTGTTTACACTCTCTAACATCATTAGAACAGAATGTCATCTACTTTTATCATTCATCTCTCTTATTGAGGCTCTTATTTAATGGTGTTGGAGAGTGGTAAGCAAAGAAAATGTAGGTAGAATAACATATTTTTAATTTTAAATACATTATTGTAGATAAAATAATTTTTTTCCAACAAACTTATAATTTAATTAATACTAACCTAAATCTTTTAAGATTTGAATGAAATACAGATCTAAGAAATTTGCTACTTCAAGAGGTCACTTTCTTTTTAGCCAAAATGTATTTAAAAATCAAAACCATATCTTGTGTGTGCAATCTGTGTTCAAGTGTCAAATAACAAAATGAATATCAATTCATCCACAACATAAATATCAAAAGAACTCTAATTAAGATGATTGAATGACCGATGCAAATAATTCCGAACTCAACAAAAATTGTTACTTAGATGATTTGTTCCCTCTACAATCGCTTCCCAGGAGAAAATGAAGTTTATCTCAAGAATGGTGGCACTATCGATTAAGAGACCCTCAGACACTATCGAATGCAAGGAAAATTCGAATCGAAGAAATTATGATTCCCTTCATATTTATAAAAAATAAAAGGTCATGATTTAATTGACACCTATTCCGTGGTAAAAAAATGCAACTTTTCAACTAAACTTCTTATTCATAACACACCAAATTTTAACATTTTTTTTCCTATCCTAATTAGTTTTTACTTATTAGGACCACAAATGACTGGGAGGCTAATGTGTTGGATATGATTCATACTTCGCAAACTGATGAGGCCCTTAGTTGTCAGGGTCAGCAGAAAGGCAACTGGAGTCCCGCTTCCAGGTAAGCGGGAGGGAGCCCGGGGGGCAGTGCCCTCAGGCCCGTAGAGGCTAGGTATTGTTGTGGGCCTCTGATTTATTATAATTTTCTTAGTAATTTGGGCTTGGGCCCATGAATAGCTGTTGTTAGGGTTTTCTAATCCTATTTATATTTTTCATGTAAACCGAGTGACTTGTAACGAGTGATATAGTACAGACAAGCTGGACGTAGCCTAAATTGGGTGAACCAAGATAAATCTCTGTATCTATTCTCTCTCTCTCTTTTCTCTTTTCATTTGCGATTTGTGTGATTGTCGATTTCCAACACAATGTACATTTGATGGGCCACCAGAGAAGACATGATTTGGATTTTGGAGCCCTCGAGTATGTTTTTCTATCCTTGATTTACGTTGTATGACATAAACATTGATGAGTTTTAACTCCCAAACCGGGAAAGGAATATCCTTCATTTTCCTTCCCTTCCCTTCCCCTCGCTCTACCTTGAATTCATTTCTTTCTCTTCCCCTTCAAACCCCAACCTTAGTCGCTCCACTCACATCACTTTTTGTTCTTTAGGTAGTGTTTGGTTCAGGTTATTTTGTTTAGATCCCCATCCATCTAAGTTTGGCATTCCATGTTGTCTTTGTTTGGTAGAAGAAATATAAAAATTTACCCCAGCAAACTCTTTTCCCCAGCCTTTGAGAATTGTATGCAAAAAGGAAAGATTTACACTGTTCAAGTTTACCATTTCCGATGCGATATTTGCATAAAACTGGGTAAATAGGAAAAAGTGGACCAAAAACGTGACTATATTACCCTGACTACATCTGTGCAAAAAAGTGACGATAAGCGTGACGAAAAAAGTGGACAAAAAACTGCACACAGATATGTTAGGAATGTGGCTTCCATACTCAAGAGGGGGGTGAATTGAGTATTACAAAATTTTCGCAAAAGCCCCCTTCTAGTTTCTAAATAATCATTTCAAGCAAACTTTGATATGTAGAAAGCTAATCAATATATTCAGATAATCCATAATATATAATATATCAATATTATAGAACTTATACTAGCACATACAAGATACCAGAGAAGCAATTAAAGTGCTAAAAATAAAAAGTTTAGATTTTAGAGAATTGCAAACACAATATATCCTGGTTCGGTCACCACCACTTATGACCTACGTCCAGACTGAAGTCGCTCGATCAACTCTTTCACTAACAGTCAAGCTTCACGGGTGCTTGAAAAACTTTTACAATCTTCCAAGACTTCGGGTTCTTTGATACCTTACAATCTCCAAGTTTACGGGTACTTAGTAACCTTACAATTCACTCCAAATTCACTTAGGTATCAGGCCACCTCTCAAACAATGGGTCTCAACACCCTTTCAACTCAAGAATACAAGGAGGGAAATATTTAAAAATGAATATACACTCTCAAAGTATGGATATACAACTTGAAGCACTATGAGTATATGAATTTTCAAGATATGAACTCAAATATGTTTGATCTTTGAAAGATATGAAAAAATATGCAAATGATAGTGTAGAAGCTCTCAAAGCATGCTTAATATGTGTAGAAATGATGCTCAATGTTTTTGAGTCATTGGGAATGCAAATATAGTTTTTTTATTGAAAACTAGCCGTTGAGATCTCATTTGACAACTAGCCGTTTATAGCTATTGGAAAATTAGCCGTTTATAGCCGTTGGGATCTCATTTGAAAAACTAGCCGTTTTATAGCCGTTGAGATCACTTTTGAAAAACTAGCCGTTAGGATATATTGCAGTGGTAATCGATTTCTAACTTGACAACAAGAACATTGTTTCATATTTTGGCTATAATTTGAGTTATACTTGTCGGATTGATGTGATATTGGTCTCTTTGGAAAGATAAAAGAGAGATCTACAACTTTTATGAAGAACAAGATATCCAAATCCATCATATTAGATACGAAAAAATTGTATGGAAGGCAGCAGCGAAATTAAGCAACAAATTTTAAGTTTAAATGTGTTATAGCTTGCTTCCAACTACTTTTTGTAAAAGATCTTGACTTGATAAATATGTTTTGAAGTTATGAAATATGTCAAGGATTTTTTTCATAAATTTTTCAAATTTATTTCAAGTATATAAAGGTTATGATAATACAATTTGAAAAACACATTTACTTTGAGAAAAACTTTGAGCTCATGCAATGCAATCTATCATATACCCTCACATATATTCTAAGTCCTAAAGATATATTCTAAATATGATTTTAGACTTAGCTTCATGTCTTGTGTCTTGGATCTTTTCTTGAACTTGATGCTTTAACTTGTTGAATATGACAATGCTTGACACTTTGTTGGTTTTGATCATTTTTCAGCATGGTTATGATATTGACCTTCTCGTAGATGTTGTCCATGGTTAGTTGTCTTTGATCTTGTTATTGCTCTTCTAATTATTCCTTTTTGCTCTTGATCCAATGATCTTGCCACTTTGATATGACATCACTCTTCTTGTGTAGCTACATCATATATCTTCAATATCCACATATGGTTGATGCTTTTTTCTCTTGATCAAATGATCTTGTTTTTTTGTTGTTGTCACTTTGTTATCATCAAAACATACCTTTGTATCTACAAGATATACCCTCCAATTTAATTATAAAGGTTATTTTCATATTTCCAACCCATTTTCTCATTATTATTTTACATTCAACCATACAAAGACTCACAAAATTTAACTCAATTTTCCTGGTAAATTTTGGCCAACCAAATAATTTTTTTTAAACTTTCCTACCAAACCCATTTTCCTATCATATTTCTGGTAAAAAAAAATATCTCCTCTGTCAAACGTCTCCTTAAGCTATTTTACACATATTTTTACTGTTTTTAGGCGTTTACCTAATGGGAAAAACTACTCTTATGTTACATGTAATAAATTTCTCTCCTACACACCATTCGATAACGGTGTCACTTTTTTCTTTTCTTTTTATTTTTCAGGTGGTGGAGCCCACAAATTTATCTCTATGACATTAGATAGCTTATCTCCTTTAACATGAGGTTAATAAAACCCTT